ACAAGGAGTGGCTAACATTGTGGTAGGCTCCTGGTTCAAAAATCCATTCTTCAGGTGTTGAGATCTTCATCGTCATCAAGATCTTCGATCTTGTTGGTGTCTTCTTCTTTAGGCGCTGCATGCCTTACCATTTGCTTTCCTTTATAATTATTCTTTCTGGCATCTCCGTTTCGGGGGTGGAATTCTTGATTGTTAGATCTGTGACCAACCTTTCCACAGGAGAAGCATTTTCCTTGCTTCATATACTCTCTTTTATCATTCTCAGAGAGGTGATCAACGTCCATAGCATTAGGATTGTTGTTTCTAGGGGTGAAGTGTGGGGTGGATTGGCGATTGTTGAATCGTGTGTTCTTGTTGTTGTTCTGGGGTCGGTGGGCAAGGAGAAGCTGATAGGAGTTCTCGATGGATATCACCTTCTTGACTATTCCGTCAAGGGTGTCAGGGATCTCTCCGGAGTTGCAGAGTTTTGTGATGAGTGGCTGTTTAAGGCCTCAGAGGAAGTAATCTTTCTGAGCGTTGAAGCTGTAGATCTCAGCTCGGTTACAGAGCTGTCGGAATGTGGCTATGTACTCGCTTAAGTCATTGCCTTGTTTAAGGGCATGGAGCTTATGGAGTGCAGTACCAGCTGAGTTGATCAGGTTAAAGGTTTCTTCAAACTGGGAAACAAATTCATCCCAAGTTCCATATCCGTTCTTTTCTCCATGAGTGGATGTGGGGTCAGGTTGCTGGGCATGTTTGATGAAATCTTCCATCCATGCTGCAGCTGTGCCTTCCTTCATAAATGAAAGGGCAAAGGTGATCTTTCTAGTGTTGGTATCATAGATTTTGTCATTTGTGTCTAGATAGAGAGTGACAAGATGGAGGAACCTTGAGGTTCCATCTCGGTTTCCATCAAAGTCAGGTGGGGTGCAGATTTTTCTTTCAATTGGTTTAGGCATGTCATCGTTGGTGTCATCATTGGTGTTTGTATCTGGTTCAGGGGTAGGGAATCTGGGTGGTGCTACCAGTTCAACAGGCAGAGCATCAGGGATTTCTTTGTCTCTGTCTTCTACAGGTGCTGGTGCACTTGTTTCAAAATGAGAAATAATAGTGTGGTGTGTAATGGAAGAGGGGCCTGGGACAGCAAGAGTAGGGAGAACAGGAGTGCAGGGAGTGTCAAAAGATCCTTGCAATGAAGAGGTTCATCTAGGAGAGTTGGGTGGATAGGGACTATATGGAATCCCGGTTCATTCAGAGAAAGCCTTCTTGCTTTTCTTGGAGGGTGCCACTTTGGCAATCAATCAGTTTTGTGGGTTCAAAGAGTAAAGCCCTACAGATGGAGGGGTTCAAAGGAAACTTGAATCTTTTGTTACAAACTCGGATAGTGTGTCGTTCCAATAAAGGAATCAAGATCAAGGTTGATCAAGGACTAAGCCTTATCGAGTCAATGCCTCTCTCAGGAGCGATCTCTTAGACTCCTGCAGGATCTAAGGTTCAAATGGGACAATGGCTAGCCTCCTTCCCAAGGAGCTAGAGTTCAAGTATCAAGGAGAACCAAGTAGATTCAAGTTAGAGAGGATACAAGTGGTAGCTAGGGTTTATATACATAAGGGAATCGTGCACAGACCATGCTGGGCAAAGGGTAATGACTACTGAGAAAGGAAGGTTCATGGGAAAACAAAGTATGAGTCAAAGATAAGGGAGACCATGAGGAAACAGCACAGTGAAAAGGAAGAATTAGAAGTACAGCCATATAGGAGTCTGCAGTGATGATGAGAAAAAGAGTGGGGCACTGTAACAAGTATTCAACTTCTTCAGCATCAAAGGTGCATTTTTCCAGTTTCAGGAATAGGCATTCAGCATGGATTCATTCTAAGACACGACAAGTTCAAGCATGGTGGGAAGGGAGGTTGTTCGAGAAGATAAGGATGTTGTCCATGTAAATGACCAACCATCCTTCATTTATTTCTTGCTGGAAGGTCTGATTCATGTATGCCTGAAAGGTAGTGGGCAAGTTGCAAAGACCGAAAAACATGATGTTAGGTTTGAAGAGGCCATACTCAGTGGTAAATGCTGCTTTCCAACGACCATTGGGGTGGATTTGGATGTTATTATATCTGGAATGAATGTCCATTTTCATGAAATACTTAGCACCATGTAATCAAGTGACCAGGGTCAATGGGAGTGGGAGAGGTGTTCTTCACCATCCAATCATTAATATACTGATAGTCCTGACAAGGGCATAGGTTGCCACTTTTCTTTCCAACAAAGAAGAATCCGCTAGCTTGCGGTGATTTTGACTCAGAGATGAATCCTTTCTGTACATTTTCATTGATAAATGCTTTGATGGTGGTTCATTCTGCTCCTGACAATGGGTAGACCTTGGATGTTTTCGGGACAAAACCAGGTTTAGTATCAATGTGATGGTCAATTCCAGGATGTTCTGGGGGTAACTGATTTAGTCCATCCTTAGCAAAGATGTTGGCAAAGTCATGGAGGTAAGAAGGGATGAGTTCTTCAAATGATTTCTTCTTTTGTTCAAGCCCAGCTGCTAGTGCAAACTGCTGAGCTTTGTTACTGGTTTTGACATATTTGGCGGGCCGTGACAAGGGTGTGACCATGGGTTTCTATTCTGCAGCACTGGTACCATCTTTGGTTAACAGGGTGTCCATAGAAATATTGGTGATGACCCAGAGCTTGGTAGCATCAGCAGGGTATTCAACCAAACATTCATCATCATTGAGGTGGTACATAGCAAGTTTGCATACAGGCAGCGCATAGTCTGGAGTCTATACATCATCTTTGGTGTTGAAGGAGTTGTCATCGTCATCAGGGATGGGGTCAAGGTTGGGTACAACCAGGGGTGCTTCTTCATCTGGGATTTCTTCAATGGTTGCTTGGGGGAGTGGTTCTATGAACATAGGTTGCACAGGAGGCGCCTTCGGCAGCACTACAACTGGCATTTCTTCTTTCTTCAAATGGGAATTCTTCCACATCTTATTGATCAGAGTTTCAATGGTTTTCTGGAAGAGAGAAGGGAGACCATTCTTCTTTCATTCAGTGTCAACATCTTCTTCTATTAGATTACTCTTCTCAGTTTGAGAGAGTTCTAGAGTTTCAGCTTTCCACTGAATAATTGGATCCATGGCACACAGCCAAGGGATTCCTAGCAAAATTTTGTCACAATGGCTAAGTTTCATGATATTGAACTTTCCAAGCATGGATCATTTGTTGATTTTCATGATGAGGATGCAGTAGTGGGTGATTGCACCTCCTTTCACATAACTTCCATCCACTGTGGTTACTCAGAATGGTTTCATAAGTTTATGTGTTCGAATCTTGTGAAGCTTAACAAAATCCTTGGAGATAAAGGTTCTGGCAGCTCCAGAGTCAATGATGGCAGTCGTTTCGATGGTTTTCAGACAGGTTTTGGAGATAAGGGAAATGGGAATGTGAAGTTCCTTTCTGATTCCTACACCTCAGACAAGTCTAATAGGTACATTGGAAGATACTGACATCAATCCAGTCTTTCACATCAAAAATCCTCATTGATACAACAGACTTCCTCTTCATCTTCTTCAGCTGGTTCAGTGTGGTGCACTGGAGCTTTGCTGTTCTTCTTCTTCAGGCAGTTACAGGAGACGTGGCCCTTCTGGTGACAGTTGAAGCACTTGCCACTCTGGTAGTGTTCAGTCTTCTCTTCCTCTATGAGGTGGTCAACTTCCATAGCATTTGGGTCATGGTGATCAACAGAGGGTCTAGGGATGTATCATTGACTGGTAGGTTTTGTGGTCATGCAATTGTTGTTGCAGAATATCGCACCATGTTGCCAGTTACCATCAAGTCTAATTGCAGCTTGGATATATTTGTCGAAGTCCATAGGGACAGTTTCAATTTGATAAATGGCATTACCAATTCCTTTCTTGAGTCCATCATTGAAGAACATAATCAGGACGGTGTCTTGCTTTATGGTGGTTTGTGCGGCAAGGGTCCTGAAACTGGCGATATAGGAAGTGAGGTCACCCATCTGCTTCATGGTTTGGAGTTTATTCATATCAGTACCAACAGCATCTGCTGGCGCGAATGCTTCTTTGAACTTAGTTTCAAAGTTCGTGAAGGTTCCATAGGATTTTGAGGTGGAGTTGTCTACTTCAGTGTAAAACATTAATGCCCAGCCCATGGCACTATCTTTAGTCATATATGCAAGCATGGTAATAACTTTCTTCTCGTTGGTGTTGTAAACCAATGCGTTAACAGTGAAATATGCTTTCACTGAAAACAACCATCTTAAAGCATGGTCAGGGCTTCCATCATAGTCTTTCAGTATTCTGGCTTTAAGTTTGGATGAAGAGCCAGACATTCTGATACTGGGATGTGCGGAAAGATTTCAGGGTGGTACTTCTTCTGGGAATTTGTCTACTGATGTAGTTGAATGATGATTGGGTTCTGTGGTTACAGGGGATGGTGTTTGTCTCTCTCTGTCTTCTGTGATATCCAGACCTGTGGCCTTGTGATATTCTTCTTCTGGTTCTGTGGGGATGTTGTTTGGATCACTCTCCCACCAGTACTTTCTAACCCAAGGGGTCATCTTGCTTTGGGCTACTGGGGCCTCCCTGGATGGAGAGATTTGATAAGGACTTTAATCTTTTGTTATGAACTAGGATAGTTCTAACAACAGATGACTCGATAAGAGTCTGGACCTCTGCCAAGATTCTACACAAGACAATAAGTCAAGCATTCAGTGTAAGCTAAGTCAGAAGGAGTGCTTCTAACTTAAAGTACAATTCAGACGACAAGAGATTGGGGGTCTCAAGTGAAGGATGTTTCAGGTAAAACCTAGTAAGATTAAAGTAAAGAACTAAAGCGTACAAGAGGACTATTTATAGTGAGCTCAAGTGCTTTAGGGCAGATGTGGGAATGTATATGAGTCAGAGATAAGGGATATGTAAGTGATAGCAAGAATAGGTCATCTAGCGACAGCAACAGTGATCGTGATGTAATACAAGGTGTGAGTCAAAGATAAGTCTAGCAGCAGCATCATGCAGCTCATGACATATGTAGATGGATTCACTTGGTCTGCTCTTACACATCTGGGAGAGGGATTTGATGCAGACAACAATCCTGATGACTTGAATGTAGACATTCTCAATGATCTCAATGATGACCTGGCAGATTTCACTGACACATCTGATACATGGGCAAACTCCCCCAAGCTCACTGTCATCCCATTGCCATCAAAACTTGGGGTAGATCGAAGCAGATGCTGTATGGCAGAGGATCTGATTCTGCTGGAGATGTTGCTTCATGAAGGGCAGGCCAATGATGCCCTTCACAACCTCTGGATTCACTTGTGCAACAAGGTGATCCTGTTCCAAACAACGGTTAGGCAGGCCAAATCTCAAGCCCTGAAAACTCGAGCTTGGTCCCAGGCGACATTGGTGCAGCAGGCAGTGTCCCTCCATGCCAGTATATATACAAAGACCCAGAAGCAAATGATGCAACTTGAGCTGGGGCAAGACCAGCTTCAGAAATACAAACCACTGCTTTGGGAGCAGCTCAAAATCAGCACTGCTGTTGGCAATCCAAATGCCTGAGGTCAGTGAAACAAGTCCCTTGCTTGGTTCTGGTCCATCAAAGTGGACCTGGGGGGTCCAGATCACTCGTGGAATGAGGAATGTGAGTTTGGGCATGCTTGACATATCTCATGCTCAGCTGATGGGACCCATCCAAAGTTTACCGAGTTCATTGGCTTCAGGCAAAGGCCCTATGGGATTGATGGAAGGAAGAAATGACATTGGTCCAATTGGAGATGGATTGGACATGTAACTTTTTCTTGTGAAAAGCAACCCAATGGGGTGACAGGATGTGGGAATCATTGGTGAAACACCTTCTGGGTCATTCATGTGGAAGGCAATCCCAAATGTATTCATTACTGGCACAGGATGCCCAGGTTGCCAATGATATGAAACAGCTACTTCTACCCAAACATTTTAGTCTCAGGAAATGCCCAGATGAACAAATGTTGGAGTTTGAAAGTTTTTATCCATCAACCTGTGGCTCATATCTTCACATCCAAACCAACTGTCATTGTGATTGTCATTTCCAGCATCATACTCCTGCATTAGCCATGCCTGTATTGCATACTCCTCCTGCATCCCCTTCTAATACTGTGGATTCCAGCAATGAATACCAACCCCTCACACTTGGTCTTGCAGATATTGCAGCCACAATGTCAATGGCTGCATCATGCATCCAAGCATCTATCTCCCAATATCAGACGGAGGCTGCCAACACCGAGGAGCCTTCCACTGCTCAGATCATGCACTTTAAAGCCGGGCTGCAATGGGAGATTACTGCAAGAGACTGATGACTGTGGTGGTCAATGCTGAGATTTCCAACAGACTTTTGTGACACTGTCATATGCCATTCTGGACTCTCAACTCTAAATCCGCTTCTCCAGATATCCAGATCTGAGATCTGGATCTCAAATGATCTGATCTATCTTTATCTTCCTTCTGGAATCCAAACCCTATATCAGCGCCCAACCCCATTTAGACTTCCCCTGTCTCTGGACTCCAGTTAACCATGTTTCCCTTCTGATTATTGATCCGTTACATACATTTCATTTCTGGTGTTCATCATTTGTGATCTGTCCTACTTACTAATAGACTTTGCATATGCTTCATACATAGCCTTTATGTTTGCTGATTGATTCCTATATGATACCTACAGTATATAAACCTCCTGTAACTCTCGGAAATACTCTAGTTCGAATATCATCTTAGTTCCTGCTCATTCCTGTGTCCTCCAGACTTGAGACAAGTCTCTTGTCATATTCCGAGTCTTAGGATTGCATCCTAGACTACATTTCCGACTCTACCTTAAGGTAGTCCATCCTCTGTTAGTTTCTAGTCCAGACTTTGTCCAGATTAGTCTTATCCACTTGCCCAAGTAACATCCAGACGTCCATCAGGTTTATCTCACATTTCAGATCTGGACATCCGTTGTCCACCCTAGTCAAATCCCAGAAACTCCAGACGACTGTTCTAGCCCCCAGAAATTAAGGGCACATACTCGGGAAAGGGGCACAGCATATGAGCTGAGGCCAAGCCCTTGTGATCTGACCCCCTTGAGCACACAACCTTAACAGACACCCACCCTGCAGTACTCAGCTCAAGGCACATCATCTTGGTTATTCCAAACCTGGTCACTCATATTCTTCAGTTGTTTCCCCAGCTCACCTGGAACACAGTTCTGGACCATGTCTTTTCATCCCACTTATTGTTACGGCGAACTAGGATGGGCGTGACGACAGGTACTCGATAAAAGTATGCCTGAAGCCGGATTGGACCTTACAAATGTAAGGGTCTTTAAGACAAGTCAAAGGGAGTGCCTTTGGCTTGAATATCGGTTATCGGACAACTTAGGATTGGGGGTCCTAAGCGAAGGATAGTTCAGGTAAGACCTAGTAAGATTAAAGTGAAGTCTAACTAAGTACATGACCGTGTTTATATAGACGTAGGTACTTTAGGGCAGGTACGCATACGTACGCATACGTCATTGACCAAGTCATAGATAAGAGACGCATACGTCATGGACTGAGTCAGAGATAAGAGGAATGAGTCATCTAGCGATGGCACATGGCGGTCGTGATGTAATACAGATATGGTGATTGGCTAGTCTAATGATGGCACAGCCAGGTGCGGTCATGACGTAATACACAGGTAAGAGAAAATGGATAGGGGGGTAACCACATTTGTAACACTTATGTCTCTTTCATGATATTGCAGATCTGGGAGATCCCTCCAGGATTATATCCAGCTATGATACTGCATGGTGGATCAGACACACTGCAATCCTGGATGAATTATGGCAATGGGATTGGGTAATGGGTTGCTGTATCTTTCACTACCAGCATTGGCTAGTAAGAACTATGGACAATTTCCTCAAGTGATGATTAATGTGTTCTAGGGTGGCATTGAGGATGATAATCTGATTCTTCCTGAGCAGGTGGATAACACCTTGGTTCCATCACTGATGGGACTGAGGTGGCTTAGAGAATGCCTCTGGACATTGGTTGAGGAGCAAGAAGAGGGCATCAGTGAAAAGATGGCAGAGATTGAAGTGTACACCAGCATCCTAACCAGATTGAAGAGAGGAAGAGGAGAGTAGTCCTAGTCCTTGAGTTCAGAATGTTGATGTCCAAACTCCATGAAAATGACATACCGTCTTTCAAATATCTAACCTAACATTATGTGCTGAGTCCTGAATACTGAATATCAAGTATTGAGTCCAGACAATCATATATCGCATTGGGAATGTGGACTCCTGAATATTGAGACCTGAATCTTGAATATCGAGTATTGAGTATTGAGATTCAGATATTGAAACCCAACTATTGAATACTGAATACCAAATATCAAATACCAAGACCCAACTATCAAATACCAAATATCAAATGTCAAATTCTGAATATCGAGTGCTAAATACCAAGTCCCAAATATTGACTACCAAATATCAAGACCCAACTATTGAATATTGAGTGCCAAATACTGAGTTCCAAATATTGACTACCAAGTATAAACTACTGAGTATCAAGTCCCAAATATCAAATGTTGAATTCCAAATATCAAGTTCCAAATTTCAACTATCAAGTATCAAATATCAAAACCTGACTTGATAGTCAGCTCTTGATATTCAATATTCAGATCAGGTCTTGATATTTGGGTCTCGACATTCAACTATTGAGTATCAAATGTCAAGACCCAGTATATCAAGTTGCAAATGTGGAGTCCCAAATATTGAGACCTGAATCTTGAATATTGAATATCAAGTTCCAAATATCAAGTCCCAAATACTGAGTCCTGAATATCAACTACTGAATATTGAGACCTGACTATTGAATATCAAGTTCCAAATATCAAGTCCCAAATTTCAAGTCCCAAATTTCAAGTCCCAAATTTTGAATGTCAAATATCAAGTTCCAAATTTCAACTATCAAGTATCAAATATTGAAACCCAACTCAATAGTCAAATGTTGAGACCCAAATATTGAGACCCAACTATCTACACCTGATTCTCAAATATCAACACCTGACTATGGAATGTCAAATTCTGAATATTGAGTTCTGAATGTCCACTATCAAGTATTGAGTATTGAATATTGAGCATCAAGCATTGAATGTCAAATATTGAGTTCCAAATATTGAATCCCAAATATATCAAGTATCTAGTTCTGACTATTGAATGCTGAGTTCCAGATATCAAGGCCCGAATATTCAAGATCCAGAGATCTAATATCTGGTATTTGACAGTAGGTGCTAACATGGGTAACTACACTTTCTACTTGTTTGATCTTTCACTGTTTGTAATCCACCCTAGCCCGTCCACACAATGGAACCCTGGCATAAATATGAACAGAATCCTTCATATACAGTGGCTCAAAAAACTGTCCGCATGTTTTGACATTTTTCACTATCTATGATATTGTGTGAGAACAAACAAATGCCTCAAGGACATGGTTATACCACATTGTAGTATGGCTTCAGGGCTTTCATTTGAGCCCTACACCGTGGGAATCGGTGGAGATATGGTGGAGACATAAGGCTTACAAAATCATGACTCATGCGGACAGTTTTTTGAGCACATATTAAAACTATATAAATCATCATTTATGACACCATAACAATCATGCCACCATTAAATAAATTATAAAGTGGTGTCATTATGTCATTTTAAAACCATATCTAACTATACAAACCAAAAATTTCCATATGTCATGGTTATATTCACCATGAAAGCCACCCCCCCTGCTCAAAGGGATAATATCCTCTCTCTTTCCTATTCTGGCCTCTCTGCTTGTCAAATCTCCTCTAGAACTGGAGTATCCAAGTCCACTGTGGCCAAGTTCATCAAAGAAAGTCACGCAGACAAGGAAAACTTCTGTGAAGGGCGTCCATCCAAGCTCACCTCTACTGATAGGAGGGCTATTATTCAACATATCACTACAGGAAAGGCTGATAATGCTGTCCAGGCCACCTATTACATCAATTCCACCATCACATTCCCTGTCTCTTCACACACTGTGAGAAACATTCTCAAGACAGCTCATCTCAGGTCAGTAACAAGGAAGAAAAGGCTTTCTTCTCTATCACACATAAACAGAGATGACTAACCTTTGCCTTAGCCCATCAGAATTGGATTACATGGACTGGAAGCATGTTATATGATCATATAAGACCACAATAAATAGGATTGGGTCAGATGGCAAGGTATATATGTGAAAAAAGAAGGGTGCTAGTCCTCTCTGCATATGTGTGATAGAGAGGAGAGCCTTTTCTTCCTTGTTACTGACCTGAGATGAGCTGTCTTGAGAATGTTTCTCACAGTATGTGAAGAGACAGGGAATGTGATGGTGGAATTGATGTAATAGGTGACCTGGACAGCATTATCAGCCTTTCCTGTAGTGATATGTTGAATAATAGCCCTCCTATCAGTAGAGGTGAGCTTGGATGGACGCCCTTCACAGAAGTTTTCCTTGTCTGCGTGACTTTCTTTGATGAACTTGGCCACAGTGGACTTGGATACTCCAGTTCTAGAGGAGATTTGACAAGCAGAGAGGCCAGAATAGGAAAGAGAGAGGATATTATCCCTTTGAGCAGGGGGGGTGGCTTTCATGGTGAATATAACCATGACATATGGAAATTTTTGGTTTGTATAGTTAGATATGGTTTTAAAATGACATAATGACACCACTTTATAATTTATTTAATGGTGGCATGATTGTTATGGTGTCATAAATGATGATTTATATAGTTTTAATATGTGCTCAAAAAACTGTCCGCATGAGTCATGATTTTGTAAGCCTTATGTCTCCACCATATCTCCACCGATTCCCACGGTGTAGGGCTCAAATGAAAGCCCTGAAGCCATACTACAATGTGGTATAACCATGTCCTTGAGGCATTTGTTTGTTCTCACACAATATCATAGATAGTGAAAAATGTCAAAACATGCGGACAGTTTTTTGAGCCACTGTACCATGCCCAAGCAATCCAATCCCCTTCCACTGCATGAACCCCATGTCTCACAATCTTTCTGGAAAACACAATCATGCAACCTGGATTGTACCTGAACTCCAGCTGAAGGCTTGGCATACTCATCCAAGCATTAGAATAATTCCCCATGGTAGTGAGAATGTCAAAGCATTCAGGAATAGATAAATGGTCTCGATGATTGGGGGTTTCCCAATTGGAAATGACAGACAGGCTGTTAAACACAGGTGCCCAGTACTGGAGAATCTCTGACATCTTTGGCAGTTCCTTGCTTTCTGCCCTTTCTCCAAGGCTCACAAACCTGCCCAGTACTGCTCAGGATGCATCACCCTGAGTGCCACTGTTGCAATCACTGCTGGCCTCACAATGGCTTTGAGGATCTTCTTGGAGGATGCCCCCTTCAATGATGCAGATACCTCTGGATCCAACTGATTCTAGGGGATTTGTGAGTTTAACTACTGAAATCACCATCTCATCAGATCCTACCTTGTGCCCCTGTTGAAACCATGCCAGAGATAAATTGGTGCATCCAGGAGTGAAGACATTGTTTTCTGAGCTTGGTTTGAATCACTCTTGATTAGTTTGCCAATTGCTATCAAGCTTTATGCTTTTTTTGAGGATTGGAGCAAGCAAATCAGAGGCTGCCCAAATTTCCTTCTGTAGGCACCATTTGATGTTCAATATCCATTGAGTAACAATATATATTACACACCTGGGTGGCATCGGTCAGGGTGTCTGGGACATACCATGCGATGATGGCACTGGATGCATCAAGAATTGTGGTGGGTATCTCAAGCAACTTCTCCTCTCTCTCTTCATTATGCCCAGTGTCCTTTAGGGAGATCAATTTGTTATATCTTGCAACATCAATCTGCATCTGAACTGTGATGAAGCAATTTGACTGATAAAATGAATTTTCTGAATCTGCAGGAAGACCCACTGGGATTTTTATATGCCTTTATCAGGCAATCAACTAATTGATCGCAAGCCATCACCAGATCAGTGTCTAGGTTCAAAGAAGGTATAACTGGGTCTCCTCCTGTCTTCTCTGCATTGAATTTCCATTTGGTATATTCACATGCCTTATGAGTGACAGTCAGGGCCCAAGTGCACCAGAGGGTTATTTCAATATCAGAAGTGGAAGAAACAGACATGATGGAATTGATCTTGGGAAATCAGATGCTGAATCCTGCATGTCCATTTGGAGTTAAAGGGGGTGGAGATAGCAAGGATCAGATAAGGGAGCCTCACATGATGTTATTTTCCAAAGATGTATTATTGTCCATTGCTCAATGAAATACCAGATGATTGGAAGTGTGCTGGATATCAGATATTTGTTTGTTGAGACCTGGGCCTCAGATCTCAGTATCCTTCACTTGATGTTTGGTAGTTGGAACTTGGCATTTGGCATTTGGTAGGTGGAGATAGTGAGGATCAGATAAGGGAGCCTTGCATGATGTTGGCTTTCAAAGATGTATTATCATCCATTGCTCAATGAAATACCAGATGATTGGAAGTGTGGTGGATATCAAATATTCATTTGTTGAGACCCAGGTCTTGAAACTCAGTATGCTTCACTCAAGCTTTGGTAGTTGGAACTTGGCATCTCATAGGGCAACACAAGCTGTGTGTATTAGCTACTTGGTAGTCAGTACTACATGTTCGCATCTGTACTGGGTGCTTGATTTTCTGGCACTTGTGACCTTCATCATTAGATGACTTTGAATTATTACCTCCTTTGATTTTGATGATATACAACTACCTATGAAACTCATACATTTTTACAACCTTTGAGTTTTGGGTTTCGATGTTTGGGGTTTGATGTTTGAGTTTTGGGACTCAGCACTTGGTGATTCAAGTTTTGAAGTTTGTTTCAATGTTTGAGTTTTGAGTTTCAGGTGTTGGGTTTATCTTTATGTGTGATAACAACTACCTCGCCCCACCCATCAATATAATATATATCACTACCTCAGCCTATACATCCATACATCCATATAGTATACAAATACCCTGGCCCTTACACCCACAGACCATCTTCTGAGGTATTGCTGGATTCTGAGTTGACAGGGCACTTGGCTGTGTTGACTTTGATCAACGTTGACAGAATCTGAGTCTGAATGTCATTGATGACTTGGATCAAAACTAGTGTAACAGCATTGCTCATATGTCCATATAGTATACCAATACCTTGGCCCATATGTCTAAATGATATGTATCTGGGTCCACCCATCAATATGACATCTCCCTATGTTGGCCCACCTGTCTATGTAATATACCCCATGTCAGCCCACACATCTATGTAATGGGTGACTATCCATAGGTCAAATAATGTAGAATAGATTATGACGGACCTTGAAACATATCTGCAAAAGATAATATGTACCGAAAACCAAACTGTAACACACTTTGAATAAAATAATCAGGGTTAGGTCAGCACTCCAATGGATGATCTGCTACTACAGTATACTTTGATGAATGATATGGAGGAGACGGCTTTTCTTGATGACAAAGAAGATGCAAAAATGTTGGTAGCCACCCTGATTGCTGGAGTTGAGTTTGCTCAGCTCGATCGTATTGAGACTTGGAACCCTGGACAACTCTGCCTCTGTCATTGCCCAACTCCTTCCTGATCTATATCACAATACACCATGGCAAGCATTTGTACAAGAGTCAAAATGATTGTGCTTTCAACATTACAACCATGGGCATTGACATTCAAACATTTGGACTAATCCTTACATCTGGTTTGACCAGTCAGTGGTACAAGAAGCCTATCACACATATTGATGTCAATTCGCATGGCATTCCATGAATTGCAAGATGGTGAAACAAGGCAACAACTATTGCTATGGTGGAGATGCATGAGATGGGAACCTCAGATATAGATTACTAAGTGGTGAGTAAGCAGATAGCAAGGGCATTAGTGACCCAAAACAGAATAATCCATCAGTTATAATCTGTAGAGGGGGGGGGGCTCCTACAGATTTAGAGTTTGTAAGAGGGTGAAGAAAATAATGCATGGGAAAGTCATCCTAAATGAACAGCAGCATCGCGGCAGGATTTCCTTAAATAGTATTTTTTTATTCTATTCTATTCTAAATCACATTATTCAGGCCTACAGATAGTCACCCAACATACCCCTATGTTGGCCCACCCATCTATATAATAATATCTGTCATACATCTCTCTTCAGCCCAGCTGTCTATAATATATGTCTATCCTACTCTACATATTGCCCAGATGGGCCCACCCATCTCCATCAGTAATAATATTTCTCCTGGCCCATCTACCATCGTCAAGGATATTTATAACATTGGCATAGATGGGCCCACCCATCCCCATCAGAAATAATATCCCTCCTGGCCCATCCATCATAGTTGGGGATATTTTTACCTTTGGCCCATGGTCCACTGGCCTGTATCATACAGGATATTATGCATGTCCATTCACTCATATAATATGGAGATAGGTCACTGCAATATGTGAACTGCTTCCATTCCCATGTCTTCCAATGGCAATAAGCTTCCCATCTGCAACTAAGTTTTCCTTATCATATCATATATCAGCACAACCCACTAATCCCACTAATATAGAAACTCCAGTGCATCAAGATGATATATTGCATGTAAATGATACAGAAAATAACACACTAATAGGTGAAGTACCAGACCTTGCACATCCCAGCACAATGAATGATATGTTCACTAGACTCATGCCATTGGGACCGTTTTACCCACCTCAAGTGGAAACAGTTGTGAACACAGTATGATATGGACTACAGCTGATGGATAGCCAGTGTCATATGGCGCAAGGTCTAGTGGCTGAATTTGCAGACATGTTTGCATTGTCAATGAGGGAGGTAAAACAAGTAGACTTCATCAAATTCCAATTGTCAATACTGCTGGACACAGTATCAACACCCATTGACACAACCACAAAGAGAATATCTTTTTCCAGTCCTGGACAAGATGAGGAAAGCAGGGATCATACAGTTCATACTGGCAGATGAAGTCAAAGCAGTAATGTCTACTATACTCGTACAGAAGACATACTCAGGTACCAGTCTATCATTAGATGACATCCAGAATATTGTTAACCAACAGTGTATTGAACTTGGTGAGCCACTGGACCCCAATTTTGACCCAAGCTCAACACCAGTTAGAATGTTAGAACCAGTTGACTCCACCAAAGTGAAGTGGCAGATCTGCCAAAACTTCAACAAAGTCAACAAGGTATCAAATGTAGCACCAACACTGCAGGGAGACATCAACACAAAACAACAACACTTAGTGGGACACAAACATATTTGCATCCTTGATTTCACAGCAGGGTTCTATGCTATTCCAGTAGAAGAGAAGAGTCAACCATACCTCTGCTTTTACACGGAAGGCTGCAGGTATGAAGAACATCAGCAAAACCCCAAAAATGACATAGTGCCCTAACCAAGTACAGCCACCTGTGGTAACTTACAGCATCCACAGTGACATGTAGCAACTGGCTCAAATCTAATATTAGCGCTTGATTATATTACAGCAGGTTATAGCATGCGCTTACAGATGAGTCTTAGTGGTCCAGTAATATAGTGGCCTGTAGTGTGATACAGTGGTCACAGGGCATGAATATTTATTTCAAAAGAAAACTGGTATGGACAAGGTAATACATAGAGCTAATATTACTACACCACTGCATTCGACTCAGAGATAGTATAGCAAAAATGATTGAGTGAACTTAGAGCTGTTTTGTGGCATCAGATGAGTGTCAGTGTGAGGACCAAAGCAGGGAATAATGTGAGCAAAGGAGTGAAGTTGATCTAGGGGAAGGATGTCACTGAAAGGCATCGCTCCTGCACACATAGCACATTTTAGAACATGTATCTGTGTAGTGTGGTCCAATACCATTCCGCATTGCTGATGTACCATGTCAAGACATTGGACATAAGTAAGGAAACGTGCAGCTCATGCGAGAGTTCTGCCTGGCAGTGAGACTGGTAACATAATGAGGCAAACCTCAACAACAATGTGTCCTAGATTTGTACCTCTGAGTCAGTACAAATAACACTGAAGAACATATCAAGTTACCTTTAAGCCCGCTAGCAGGCCATTGTTCTGTGCCATCAACAGTAAATATGGCAGCATTGTAGCAGCCATGCTTCCAATTGGCATCTGGCAGAGATGCATTAACTGTCAGAGCAGGAAGGAGGGCTGACCTGCTATGGTGGGGTGTCTGCTGCATGCATACTTTGAACCAAATATTAAGATGCTGGAATGGAAGATTTGTGGTTGGTGATGCTCAACGTTGTCCTGTCAACTTGTGGAGGTTTTGAACAGTCTGACCCTCCCATTGAATGTAATTGGCAAGTGCTGCTCACAAATCAGGCAAACAGAACCTCCAAGTGGCATTGTAATGAGGGGTCAAAATTGAGATGTATGGCAGTGGAGTCAACAATGAACATGCAGAGTGGTCTGGGCGCTGTGGTAGACAATGAGGCAAGTTGTGCCTTCTTGAAGAAGTTTGATACAACATGTCCTGTCCCTCACAAATCACTAATGGCAGCCTGGATATCACCTGCTTCATTGGCATTCTCATCATCATCGATCCCATCATCTGGATCATCTCTATATCTGGCAGTGGTAGTGTGTGTCTGGGACTGCAGTTGCTGGGTAATAGATGTTGCAAGATGAAAATGTCAACATTTTTCAATGCAATCCAGATATCAACATATCTGGGGATCATAGTTCTGGTTATTCATAGATTCTGCTGGATCCTTGATGAGAGTTATGTGAGCTTGTTCTGTGGTGTCAGCTGACCACTGTATAGGAGGACCAACTTGATAAATACTCAGCACAACACTTTGCATTATTTTGAGCTTTGGAATGTACCAGTTGTCAAGGATGTTTTTGCTCTTGGCACCCCAATGCCCACTGTGCATGATAACTTCATGTTTGTGGTCATGAAACATCTTGAGAGCATTGAGGGTCTTCTGACATTGCTTCTTGTCAATTGTTACTGCTTGAGATAAGTAATGGAAGTCCATTAGCACATGGACAGCTATGACAATGCCTGGAGGTGCAGCATTTGTGATAACAGCAACAAGGTAACACTGTATGTCCCACTGTGCTCTTCTGGTGACTTGCTTGAGCATTGAGATACCCTGTTTGAAATGTCAGAATGTCATGAGTGGTTGTAAGACAGAAAAATGAAAGTTGAGCTCCTCCACACCGACAATTTTGATACACCACTGTACATCATGATCATAGGATTCACAATGCCAATGGTGCAAGGCCTCCAGGGTCAGAAACAAGTTTGGATCTGCAAATGGCCAGTCATGCCAGAATGGATCAGCAACACTACTGAGGCAGTTGGGCTCACATGTGGTGAAGAGGGCTTTGACATCTAGAGGGTCACATATAGATTTAATGTTCTTGAGTTGTGTAAGGGTGGTTTTGGCTGTGTGTGGGATGTTGGAAGGCATCACCGAATTGCTTATATGAAGCTGTGGTGAGGTGTGAGGTCTTTCCTTGAACACAGGCAAGCATGGCTGCCTTGGGTGTATCCACGATATATAAAGCCAGGGAAGTAAAACAATATCTAAGGTTCCCGACTGGGTCTGACATCATATGTCCAATGCATGTAGCCTGCTTGAGTGGCTCAAGGATAATGTCAAGACACTGATGGATTAGGTGAGCTTCTAGAACACCTTGCATATGTTTGACCAGATGCAAAAATTCAGCGATGGGAAGCAGGGCTGTGAGAAGAAAAGCATGTGATGATGCCTTGTTTCAAACTGCCATCTTGATGTTGGCAAGACTGATGAGGAGGGGGTGGGCAGCACGTCTGCCAGTCATGTTCATGATATTGGTCTTATCAGAGGAAAGTATTACACCAAGCAGTGTAGAATCCTCTGGAAGCTTGGACTGCAATAGAGTAATAGAAGTTAGACAAGTATTCACACTAAACACTAAGGCACAAACCTGCATCATCCAGGCTGCTTTGCCAGTCATCCATTTGCTGTATATACATACTGTACACTCTGCCATGGTATATATGCATTCAGGTATGAGGTCAATATCCTTGGCAAATCTTGGATTATTGAAGAGGGTGTTAAGAACCATGTTGCTCAAAGAAGAGAGAGACTGACTCGGAGGGGCTTGGCCTCAGCTCATATGCTGTGCCCCTTACCTGAGTATGTGCCCTTCATTTCATATGAAGTCTGATGATAGTCTGACAAAGTCCGGAGGACTTCTGGAGGCTGGCTACTCTGGTGGAGTGCTAGAGGACTTCCAGAGGAGCGCGGGAGAGTTCTGGAGGAACACAGGAAGTGTTTAGGAGAGTTCCCACTGCAAGGTAATACTTCTACAGGAAACAGGATGGAAGGATAGGAGGTCTGAGGGTCCAGAGGACAGGAGGACAGGAGGACAGGAGGACAGAAGGACAGGAGGACAGGAGGACAGGAGGACAGGAGGACAGGAGGACAGGAGGACAGGAGGACAGGAGGACAGGAGGGCAGGATGATGGAGGACAGAAGGACAGGATGTCCAGAGGTATGAAGGACAGGATGTCCAAAGGTACAGAGAGCAGGATGTCTGAGGGTTAGGAGGATGGAATGTCTGAAGGTACGGAGGGTGGAACATCTGAAGGACAGGATGCCCAGAGGTATGAGGGACAGGAGGTCCAGAAGGAATAGGGGCTACATTGGACAGAGTCTGATATAGAAACAAACAGAGGTAGACTACCCTAAGGTAGAGTTGGAGAGACAGGGATTGGACCTAAGTCCAGAAAGAGGGTAAGTGCCAGAAAGGCAGAGCTCCAGCCTAGGGAATCAATCCCTAGGCCTGATGGGTAGGACAGACTTAGGTGGACCAAAGTCTGAGAGAGGATTGGGCAAGTCTAAGTTGATATTCAAACTAAGGAACTACAGGAGTATCTACAGGGGTTATATACTGAACAATATCTGAGGAGATCAGTAAGCAAAGGAGCAAGGCTATGTATGAGCATGTGGAAACACATTAGTAAGTAAGATGGAACATAAGTAAATGAACTTGGAGATGAAGACTCATATAAGGATCAATAAGCAAGACAGAACAAGAGGTAACTGAAAGCCAGAAGGCCAAGAATGCCTAAATGGGGATAGGTGCAGGATATCAGACAGGGGGTGGGAATAGGTCCGGAGATCTGGGGATCTGGAAGACAAGGTGGATACAGGACCAGGATATGAGAAGGTGGATAGAGTCTGGAATCCAAGATGAGGTGAAGTCCAGATGTCTTGCTGGATGGAGTGTACATAGGGTGGATGGGACAGGGGGTTATGGTTCAGGCTAGCAGTGGAGATCTGATGGTCCAGAGCTCAGGCGTAAATCCAGAGCGTAGTCGATCCTGCTGAGGTGTGGAGCATACAGCAGAAGGGGATCTGGGAATGAGTTGGATATGAAGTGTGGTCCGGATGTAGGCTCAGAAGGCATGGGAATATGATGGAACGTGGGTCTGGATTGTGGGATATGACAGAGGGATTCAATACAGTCCAGTGGATCATGCCAAAGGTGCACAGGTAGTTTCATTGGATGATCAGTGGGAACAACACAATATTGCCACTTGGGACCAGAGGGTAGAAGCTCAGCATGACCCCATAGCTCTTTTGCTGTGCAAAAGGAGAGCAGTAAGGCTTTGATCTGTCAAGGACTTGATTTCCAAGCTGATCTGGAGTCAGTGAAGGAAAACATACCAGTTCTATCCCTAGGAAGCGATCTACAGTGGCTCAAAAAACTGTCTGCATGTTTTGACATTTTTCACTATCTATGATATTGTGTGAGAATGAACAAATGCCTCAAGGACATGGTTATACCACATTGTAGTATGGCTTCAGGGCTTTCATTTGAGCCCTACACCGTGGGAATCGGTGGAGATATGGTGGAGATACAAGGCTCACAAAATGGTGACTCATGCAGACAGTTTTTTGACTCAAGTATTTTACAATAATAACCAGGTATTCTAGTATTTTGTATGACCTCCCTTGGCTTTAATTACTGCCTCTATCCTTCTAGGCATACTCTCAATTAATTTCTGGCAATCCTCAGCTGTGATCTTCCCCCATTCCACTGCTACTCTCTCCCAAAGCTCTCATACTCCTTTAGGAGGGTTTTCATAGGCTTGAAGCTTTTTCTTGAGTGTTCCCCAGAGATGTTCAATGACATTGACATCAGGAGACTGTGCTGGCCAGTCAAGAACATTGATGTTATGTTCTTCAAACCATTCCTTAGCTCTTCTGGATGTGTGCTTGGGATCATTATCCTGTTGGAAAATGATATCTTCTTCATCAATCCCTGATTCTGCCAAGCTAGGCAGCAAGTGGTCATTTAAAATGTCCACATACTGCTCAGCATTCATCTTCCCCTCAACCTCAGCAAGCATTCCCACACCATTCCATCCCATACAGCCCCATACCATTAAAGAACCTCCTCCAAACTTGACAGTCCCATTAACCTCTCTGTCTGTTAGGCCATCTCCCTTCTTTTTCCATACATATACCTTCCCATCTGACCCAATCCTATTGATTTTGGTCTCATCTGACCATATAACATGCTTCCAGTCCTCTACAGTCCAGTGTTGATGAGCTAAGGCAAAGGCTAGTCTTCTCTGCCTATGTTTGATGGAGAGAAGAGACTTTTTCTTCTTTGTTACTGCCTTGAGATGAGCTGCCTTGAGAACATTCCTCACAGTTTGTGAAGAGACAGGGGTAGTGATGGTGGAATTGATATAATGGGTGGCTTGGACAGCATTATCAGCCTTTCCTGTAGTGATATGTTGGATAATAGCCCTTTTGTCAGTAGAGGTAAGCTTGGATGGATGTCCTCCACAAGAGTTTTCCTTGTCTGGGTAGCTTTCTTTGATAAACTTGGCCACAGTGGACTTGCATACTCCAGTTCTAGAGGAAATTTGGCAAGCAGAGAGGCCAGCATAAGACAGAGAGAGGATATTATCTCTTTGAGCAGAGGAGATGGCTTTCATGGTGATTATGACTATGATACATGAGATATTCTGGTTTATATAGTTAGATATAGTCATAAAATAACATAATGACACCACTTCATAATTTATATAATAGTGGCATGATTTTTGTGGTGTCATAAATAATGATTTATATAGTTTTAATATACACTCAAAAAACTATCCACATGAGTCATCATTTTATAAGCCTTATGTCTCCACCATATCTCCACCGATTCCCACAGTGTAGGGCTCAAATGAAAGCCCTGAAGCCATACTACAATGTGGTATAACCATGTCCTTGAGGCATTTGTTCATTCTCACACAATATCATAGATAGTGAAAAATGTCAAAACATACAGACAGTTTTTTGAGTCACTGTAACAACTACCTCAGCCCACCTGTCAATATAATATATATCACTACCTCAGCCTATACGTCCATATGTCCATATAGTATACCAATACCTTGGCCCTTATGCCTATGGACCATCTTCCAAGGTATCACTGGATTCTGAGTCAACAGGGTGCTTAGCTGTGTTGACTTTGATCGACATGGACAGGATCTGAGTCTGAATGCCATTGATGACTCGGATCAAAACTAGTGCAACAGCATTGCTCATATATCCATATAGATTTCTCCCAGCCCATCTGCCATCATTGAGGATATTTATTACATCAGCATAGATGGGCCCACCTGTCCCCATCAGAAATAATATCCCTCCCAGCCCACCCATCAACATCAAGGATATACATAACATTGGCCCATAGTCCGCTGGCCCATCTTATATGGGATATTGTGTAGGTCAGGTGACCCATATAATACAGAGTTTGTCACTGAAGGGGCTCTGTATGTGGTCCTTGCTTGCACTCAGGTAACCATTGGGATGTTGCCAGTCATAGCAGAGTTGCAAGCCAAGAGTGTTGATGAGCCAGCCCTCTGGGCTGCTGCAGCAAGAGGTAGGGGCCTTGTTATCCCACAGAAGCTTGCTCTTGCACTTGTGGATGTTGTGGGTGAAACAGCTGAGACACAGTGCAGGCATGGTGGCTGGTTGATGCTGCACTGTTCTGAAAAGACTGCTTGTCTTGGCTGTTTTGCTTGGGTTCTTGCCAAGGACAGTTGCAACCAGGAGACTGAGCTTGGGGTGGGAGATGTCCTGAGGGGTTTTGAAGTGGGGAGTGAGAGTGAGAGCATGTTAGGTGAGTCTCAGCCCAGGCATGGTTGTATTGGGATGGAGTCTCCCATGCTCAATGGTGCAATGACATAGCAAGCTGAAGCTGGGTCAGGAAAGCATTGGAGTGAGAGAAAGAGATTGATGAGGTAGAGAAAGCAGCAGTGGTAGCAGTGCCAAGCACATAGTGGTACCAGGAGCAGTTTTTTGAGTCAGAAGCAGGAAGCAGCAGTGGGGGCATGTGTGGAAGCAGTAGCAGCAAGTAAAAGGAAACATAGTAATGTAATTAGTTTCATTTGGAATTATGTTAGTGAAAGGTATGAACCTCTGTCAGACTCTTGAGTCATGTTTTGTTCCAAACTTCCTTGGTGAGGTTTTTCAACAATGTAAAGTTGAAAAACACTGATGTCAAAAGTGTTGTCAAGAGTGAGGGTGTCATGCCAATTCCATCAAATGCAGGCAACATAGAGGAGCAGGGTGTGTTCACCAAATGGTTTGGCCCATTGCAGATTAGACACAATGTTCATAAAGAACATGATGAGGGTGTGCTGGTGCTTCTCTGGCCAGTTAAGCTTGTTGATGTACACTAGGAAGCTGTTCTTCGCCATATTGAACTGACACCATTCAAGACCATGGCCTTGGATAACCTTGTGGGATGGCCTGAATGAGGCTATGGCCTTCAAGGCTACAAAATTGTTGACCTTCATGAAGCCAAAGGTACTGTCTGCTAATGACTTGGCTTTGTCAGCTGCCTCTCTGCATCTGTTAAGGCTGGAATACCACAATTTGATGTACTCAAAGGACTTGAGCTTGTGGATTGTGTATTGGGATGGTTGGTGAGTGAGAGTATCACTGACTGAGGTGCCTGTTTGAATTCATTGATCCTTGGTTTCTTCTCTTCTCCTTCATGGTGTTCATTCTCAGCCTCTTGCTCTAGGAGGAGTCATTCTTATTCAGTATGTGCTGCCTCTGCTACTTGACAAGCTTCTTCATTGACTTTCACATTCACTGCAAGTCAGATGTCTTGGTCTTGCTGCCAACCCATAATGAGTTCATTGGCTACTTCTTCATGGGTTGCCTGTGTGTTTCCTATGATGCAGTCTCTTATGCCTTGGAAAGTTGTGGATGCAAAATCAGGGACAATGTCCAGTGCTGGGTCTGATGTAATGTGAGCCATAGTTGGTAGATTTTAATTGTTGGTAGATTTTAATTAATGGTGTGTAGCCTAGGGGAAAGATAGTACAGGATAGAAGGAGAGAAAAGAAAAGAGCTCAACAAGGACTTTTGCTAGTGGAGGAGCAGAAACAAGAACCAATGGCTTCTTCTGCTCAGCCAAAGACCAAACTCTAAGACTACACTTGTACCTCACTTCATCATAGAGTGACAATATGTGCAGATCTGGTTTGTATTATTCTGAACTTGTTCAATGACTGACCAATCAGAAAGCTCCATACCAAATATGTATAGGGTTCATATTTAAAACTTGCAATTAAAATTGATCAGCCATCATATCCATGCTTAAATTCTATATATGGCATGTATCTTAGAGTAAAACAGATATTTATTTCAAAGTTTGGATATGAGATGCCATCAGATTTAGGATATTGTCCCCCCAATTTGCCCAAATGTCATATCACAAACATATCTAAAATTTGATATCCAATACCCTTACAGTACAGATTCTATCACAAATGCAAAATATTTCTGTGGATATGATGCCAATCTGTCCTGCAGACAGATCCTGTCCTGCCTCAGGTGTGAGCATGTTCTGTACAGATACTCTTTCATCAAGGAATAAGGTTGTGCTGGGATTGAAAATTCTACATCACATGAACACTACATAGAATTAAGGCGCAGTACCAAATACAGCAGGCGCAGGGAGTTGCCTTATGTTGTGGGTCATAAGATGTTGAATCCCTTGTACCGGGCCATTTGCGCTGTTTGCGAACTCAATAATACGTTGAGATATCCGCGCCTTTCTGTATGCCATACATTTAATCACATGTGCCCCATGTTTTTCTCACATTTAGGCTCCAATCACTAGACGTTGCCACAGTGAAAGTAGTCATTATAATTATCGCCATTATCACGGTCTTCATCGTGTGATTTGCGATGTATCGGAAGTCCCCGAGGCCGATGAATGTTGGCGCTTCACTTGGGTGAATGTTATAAGATGGAAGCGGCAGAGTGGGGCGGCCTGAAAGTAACCCTTCATATTAATGTCTCATCCAATCCCGTCAGAATTCGATATCGTTTTTGCTGGAGGTGAGCAAATAACGTCTTGTAGTGGTTTGCCCTCTTCACACACCATTCTGTATAGGCGGTACTACAGCCTGTGTTGTTGCAGGTCGCTTAGCTGCATATGATCCCTCGTTGAGGATCTTGATTCTGGAAGCGGGTCAACACACCCTTAATAAACCTATTCATGTGCAACCCTCCCAATATCCCTTCAATCAACTACCGACGAGCACCACGGTCACATTCAACATTGGAAATCCATCTCCTCGTCTCAACGGCCGCGTACCGATTGTTCCTTGCGGTCGCTGTGTCGGTGGAGGCTCATGTGTGAATTGTGCGTAGCATATTTGCAAGATGAAGAAGACTCTGATAGTGAGACAGTTATGGTTTACACTCGTCCACCTGCTTCGGACTATGATGATTGGGGAGTCAGTGGTTGGGAATCTGAGAGTTTGATTCCCCTCATGAAGAAGGTCTCGAATACGTTTTCAGTATATCTGTTGCTTATACGTTCACCTTATAGCTGGAGACATATGAGGTGCAGCCCGATCTTCCAACCCATGGCTATAACGGACCTATCAAAGTGTCTTCCGGTGGGTATAAAATGGGTATTTCCGACGAATTCATCCAGGTTGGTACGACCTATCACAAGAGGCAGTATGCCGATGACACCAATGATCTGGAAACATGCAATACATATAGTGTACGCTATGATCTTCCTTTCCTAACTGCGACCACTAACCAGAACTGTCTCAGCCATGGCGGAAGTGAGTTCCTTTACTCCTAAGCTACTAGTATTGCCAATATTTGACTCGTATATAAAAGATATATTGATGGGACAACCGGAAGGCGTTCGGACGCGGCTCACCACTATATCTACAACCAAGCCCACAACTCAAATTTACAAGTCTGGGACGGAAAGCGTGTAAAGCGTATCATTTTCGAGTAAGTTGCCACCTGGGATCGTAGCAAACTGTTGACGGCTTTTCCAAATGAAAGGGGCAAGCATGCTGTAGGTGTCGAGTTCACCAGCGACCCGGTGTCTTGCCCAGACGCGGATCAGCCGTCGAGTATTGTGAAAGCATCGAAACTTGTTGTTGTCTCTGCTGGGGCGTTCGGCTCCCCGACCATTCTGGAGAGGTCTGGGATTGGTGCTGAGGCGATTCTCAAGCGGTGCGGTATCGAGCAACTAGTGAATTTACCTGGCGTCGGAGAAAATTATCAAGGTGCGCTTCAAATTTATTCTAAGAGCTTGGCTTAGGACGGTCAGATCACAATCTCGTTATTGTTCCATACTTGGCTGCCGACGATGCTGTTACCATGGACGCCCTCTGGCGTGGGGAGAGTATCCTAGAGGGTGAGCATGTTTTCTCGCCACGATTGCAGCACTTTGCAACTACCCAAATGTAGAAAGCCTTGCACAATGGAACAGCAGCGGCAAGTCATTGATTGCACAAAAGTTGGTACAAGTTATCACTGCCGGTGCCGTGCTGATTGGTATCTCAGTGGCCTCGATTCAAAAATCAAGTGGCGTCCTGATGACGAGGAATTAAAGGCCATGAATCCAGCTTTTCAACCACGCTGGAAGGAGTTCTTCCAGGACCGCCCAGACAAGGTTGTTGCAATATTCACTGCCTTTTCAGGGTGCGTGCATATGCTTGGCTTTGATGAGATGGCAATGCTCATGACAGCCAGATATATTCCACCGCTCTCGAGGCCGCTCTCGAGCATCCTTCCTCCTCGCAGCTACATGAGTGCCGGTTATTATACAGTACTGCTCTCCGTCTACCCCGTGTTTTTTTCTGAATCTCTTCAATAGCTTTACCCCGTGTCTATTGGAAGCGTTCATGTCAAGGTGACGGAGGATGGCAAAGAAGGAATGGACTTTACTACAGGCTTCCTAGACGAGTGAGTGGACGCACATCCTTTTGGGGCACTTGCGTGACTATGGCACTCCGCACAGTCCATCCGATATTGCTCCTCTTGACTTTGGGTACAAAAAGACGCGCGAAGTTTTTCGACGCATGGCTTCCTATCGAGGTGAAATCGCTGCTGGCCATCCCGATTTCCCAGAGGGAAGCGCTGCAGCCTGCAGAGAAGCTTCCGGGCCGGTGGACTTGAATGCGCCTGACATCGTCTACACTGCCGAAGATGACGAGGCGATCAATCAATTCCACCGCGACATCGGTAAGTCCTGATTTGCCATCTCCATTGTCACGGTAAAATGCTGAATCGAACATCAGTGCAAACGGCGTGGCACTCGGTGTGTGCAGCTGGACCTTTCATAATCTCACATCTGATCTCTGTATTTGTAGCTTGGGACTTGTGCCATGAAATCGGAGGCAGATCAAGGAGTCGTTGACGCTCGGCTAGATGTGTACGGCGTGTCGAACCTGAAGGTCGCAGATATGTCCATTGTGCCGTTGAACGTTGGCGCGGTGGGTACTGAACAGGGGATTGTTGATGTGTGGTCTAACGATATGATACACAGAACACGTATTCGACGGCACTTCTCATCGGAGAGCGGGCTGCAATGATCATTGCTGAAGACTTGGGTATCAATTGCATTTGATATGCATCGCCAGAGATGTTTCTAATTATGAGTACAATGTATTTAGCGGATGTTTTTGTGGTGCAGTGAGCGCCAGCTGCTGGGTCCTGGCAGTATGTACTAAATTACTTGGAAGTTTTCCTCGAATGAAAAACAACTCTACTGGCTGATACCATCATTACTTATCTACAACTTGAAAGCCAGCTGCCCAAGTACGCACTAGACTACCGCATGGTACCGGTACGTGATATGTATAGCCATCAATCGTTTCCACAGCAGTGAGTCCGTTGGTTACTACGTGTACACGAACGCTTTTGCGACCTTCAAAGCCAACTCTTTCTTCATGCCACATTGACCCTCGAGGTCCTTCTGTAGCTTATCCTGCAACTTCTTGTCCTCCGGATCAGGTTGCCTGAACCATCGCGTGAACGCGCTGACTATCCCCTCCTGCTTCCATTCCCCAGACACTGGCGTAGTGGCTGCATGCTTCCGGATCAGCTCATGCACGGCTTCCATCGATTCCCTGTACTTCTTATCTTCATCCTTCAAGGTCGTTGCGCATACATGTCCTTCCACGACGACCTGGGATACTTTGAACGATTCATGGTTCCGTCCCCACCATTCCTCCATGACATCCTCGTCCTCGAGGCCCGTCACTACCATGACTATGGGGACCCGCCGCTGATATAACACTTCATGGAATAACTGGTAGTTACTCCGCAATGCGCCACTGTCACGGCCTTTTTGAACGCAATATACCAACAAACTGGTGCCGCCGCATGCATCAAGCTCGCGGAGAAGTCGGCTGGCATTCTTGATGGATCGGTGGTACTCATATGGCTCGAGTTCTGGGTTCTCGATGCCCATCGTGTCGAAGATATTGCATTGCATCCCATCATCAAAGAACTGGGGTAACACATATTTGGTCCATGTGAGGGTGCAGCGCCTGAGGTTGGAGCCAGTTTTAGCGATGCTTTGGTCTGCAATGAGGTTTATGAGGGAACTCTTTCCGGCGCCCATTGCGCCGAATATAACAATGTTTTTAGCGTGAATGACGCTTTTGTTCTTCGCCATCGTGATGTGTAAAATGGGTAGCTGGTGAGTTTTGGGAAGTAGTCGAGGTGAAGCGAATTGTTCCTTTGGACGGTTATAATTGACTGACTTTTCTAGCTAGGATCTGTCAGGGCTCATGCCTTGCACCCTTATATGATGCAGAAGCTTTCTGCCACGACTTTTCCGTGCCCTGATTTGATCTTTGGCACGCGACAGTCATGCTGCTACGGGCAGAGGCGTAACTTGGACACGTTTTGGGTATATCCAGAGTATGTATTAAGCATGTCGCCTTGAAAACCCGTATACAGAACCACAGGCATGAGGTAGTTAGTACTGGAGTTTTAAGTTGCAGCTAGGCAACACGCACAAGAACTACCGTATGTAAAAGCGCTCCACGTTGAAGATGATCCAAGTATCTCACATCGTAAGAAGAAGAATTGAACCAAGTACTACCTACAGTCGTATTACAAGGTGATAATCAATCGTAACGAGTAGACTTGCGTCACCTACTAAGTTTTTGAATCACGTCTTTTGCTAGGTTATCCTCCAACCCGCCGCGCTTCATGAGGACCCCAAGAACGTCTGACTTGCTTGGACGTCCCGTTGAGATGTCTTTCAACTTTCCAATGAACCGGGCAAGCCATCCATCTCCTCCATTCCAGTCCACTACCGTATCCTTATTCCGTATAATCAAGTCACTCACTTCCTTTTTGGATGCGTCGTACTTCTTCTTGTATTTTGGATCTAGGTTGGCCGCCGCGGTGATACAAGCATGATCAACACAGTTGACTGCATGGCGGTCAAACGATCCCTTGTTTCGCGTGTACCAATCATCCATGGGATCCTCCCTCTCCATGTGAGTAACGATGAGTGCAACTGGTACCTTCTCTTCGAATAAAAATTCATAGAATGGCCTGTAGTTGGTGACGAACGTCAGTGGTATCCTGTCTGCCTTGATGCAGTACAGCAGCAAATGGATTCCTCCGTTAACCTTCAGCTCCTTCTTCAAGTTGTCAGCATTGGTGACCGCATCGCGAAATCCGCCAGGATCCATGCGATTGCCGTCGACACCTGCAGTTTCATAGATGCGGTATGGCATGGCCTCGATGTTGACATTATACGCTTCGTAGCGCAATGTACCATGTTTGACGTCCACAGAGGTCCTAACAACCTGTTGCCCTGCGAGGAGGTTGATGATGGAGCTTTTCCCGACGCCACTTTCTCCAAAAATGACAATATTTTTGGCAGACATTGGCAGTGGACGTAGCCTGCCAGGAGAGTAATCCGGTAGTAGTACAGGAGTATTGGAACTCGTTGAAGTGGTGTCACGCTTGATCCTGCTTATCAATGAGACAACTACAGTACGAAAGGCCTATCTAAAAAATACGCACCTTGTAGCCATTGTAGGAGGGAGGATAGTACTATATAGCGTTTGAGGTTGGAAAAATACGACAAAAATATGACTATGTACCTTTCAGCTATTTCAGGAGTTATGGTACGGATAGTGCTATGTAGTCTGGTGAAATCGGAACTCATTGAAGTGGTGCCATGCTCGGTCCTACTTATCAACATGAGACAACTACAAAACGAAGAACCCATCTGAAAACTACGCACCCTGCAGCCACTTTAGGAGGGAGAATAGTACTATATAGCATTTGAAGTTGTACAAATACGGCACAAATCAGGCTGCGTACCTTCGAGCTATTTCAGGAGGTATGGTCCGGATAGTGCTATATAGCGTTTGAGGTTAGAAAATAGGGCTCAAACGGCATCTGAAAACTACGGACCTTTCAGGCATTTCAACCCTCCTCAAAATGGGGGCGATTTTCGGTGCAAGGCATCCAATGACTTCAGTTGCCTCCGGCCGATCAGCTGGGTTCCAAGACCAGCATTTTTGAATCAAGTTCCAGTGATCGTCAATAATGTTGTCGGGACGCGCGTGCACAACTTTATTCGACAGCGCAATGATGATTTGTGGCTGTGCCTTCTCTTTCCATGGTGTATCCCCCGAGACGATCTGAGAAGAAAGCTTAGAATAGAACTGCAGAAAAACAAAGGAATCGCACAAACATGACACCACCAAAAGAATATACATCACTCTTAAAATTCGGTCGTACAGGTTCAGCCTCCGGGACGACTCCAATGACCTCGGGCGCACGCCATCGAGGATTGAGGCTGCGGTTTGCGGTCGTCGTACTCAGCTGTGACTCTGCGTCCTCTGCGATTGTTGCAAGACCAAAATCTGTGAGACGTGGATTCCCTGCACCATCTATAAGCACATTTGCCTGAGGCTTATGAATGAGTGCAATATCTACGGATAGACAACTGTACATACGGGATGAAGGTCACCGTGAACGACATCCTCCGAGTGGACTGGGTAGACATCAAGAACAAAATAACAATAGGATAGCGGTCTACGAACGATATCTGAGGCCATCGGCGACGCCCCTGACCTTGTAGCATAACATCAATCAATGCTTGGCGAATGTGATTGGTGACAAGAGACTCGCCAATTTAACTTTATTCGAAGCGGTGATTGTAGCTTGCTTGAGGTACATATCCAATGTTCCGGAGGACATCCATTGCGAAACGAGAGCAGGACACGGAGACCCGACGTGTGCGGTGCCAAGTAGCGGTACGATAGTTTGGTGTCTTGACAGTTTAAGCCACACCTTGAGTTCCCGACGCATTGCCTACGTAGGCCATTGAGCGAAGTGTGATTTGAATCGCCAAACTCCGGTTAGATGACTGACCTTCTCATATTTCTCCACAGCTCTCCCAGGATCAATCTTGAACACCTCTACTGCGACCTGATGGATATCAGATGGACGATTCGGGAGCTTGGGGCACGTGGTCAGACAAACTTCTTTTGTGCCTTCACTAGTATTGATGTTGCGCCGGTAAACGGTGCCAAATGAACCAGATTCGCATGGATCCTCGAGCTTTAACGCAGAAATTTGAGATGTGAAGTCACTATCAATGCAAAATATGCTGAAGGTCGAGGGACATTATGGGAGACGACTCACTGTTGAGGCGCGAGTCTATCCATGCCGGTGGGTAGCCTGTAGGGCTACTGCTTTGCTGGGGGTAAGGTCTAAGAAGTGAAGCAGTGAGGCTGGTTTTTTAAGTTGATAGCAAGGCGCCTATTGGAGCCCATGCTGCAGGACATGCTTGCGACGCATCTACGATATCGCCTCGAGGCCATGATAGATCATGGGTCCAGGAATCGTACAATGATGTGACTCATTTAAACTTAAGTTTTGGACATTGAGCAGGGTTAATCTTTACTTGGTCTTTACCATGTTAACCATGTGTTACGCTCATCAAAGTCCGAGAAGCCTACAGCAATTATTTACTAGTTACTCCATAACTACTGTTACTTGAAGGCATACCCTTTTCGTTCTTTCATCCCTACTTTCTCCGATCCCTTCGAGTATATAAAGCCACACTATCGTAGTAAATAGGCAGTGGATCCTTTCCCCCAAATAAACACTTGGTTCGGCTGGTTTTCTCTGTTCGATTGCTAGCTGTCCTTAGGAAGTGCACTCAAGAGTCAACTCTCTTCTCGTGTGAACGTTCTATCGTCGAACGCACCATGTTTGACTACTAAATTTATGTAGACATTCGACCGAGTAATATCAATACAATACCATAACACGTATATGTATCGAACAAAACAAAAATCCAAGTCGCAAGTCGCATATGATTGAAAAATGATGATGTGTCGTAGCAGGGGTCGTCGGAAGTAAGGTGGTCAGAACATATGACAGGGAAAGGAAAGGAACAGGAAGGAAAAGGGAAGGAAAGGAACACAACGATGAAAAGAGATGGGAATCAGAGAGAAAGGTGGAACTTCTAGATAAAACACTTCCTCCCCCTCCTCGTCCTCCTCTTCGTCTCCTTCAAAAACAGCCTCAATCAGCGACTCACCCACACTCTCTCTAGCGCTTCCAAGGCGTAGATGCACTCCCACTGCTCGCCATATTCGCGCCCTAGCATAGAACCCCAGGCAATTTCGGAGCTTTACCGCTGAGACTTATCTTCCTCGCAAGTCTCTGAATATTATGCGTCGAGAGCACTCTCTTAGGCTCAGGCGAACCCGTCCGCGGAAGTGTGATCACTTTCGCATCAAACGTAACACTCGCGCCTTGTACATGCGCAGGTACGACCGAATGCTCTGGATAACTGTGGATGGAAGGCGCGTCGGACGTGGGTGTTATCATTGAGAACGCTTGGAGTGCGTCATCGGATACAGGGAATGACATAGGTGTGTCTGGTTTGGTTTGTAGGGATGCTGGAACGACTTGGGGAGAATCGATTACTATGCGCTCTTCGACTGCTGTACTGCGCATTTCAGATTCGGGATGGGTGCATCGTAGTCGATGTCGTATCCAGCTGGAATTTTCGGATTTTCGGACGCGTTGATCTGATCTGCCCACATGGATGCAGAGAGGCCATTGAGTTGAAGGAGCTCCCTATGTAAGCCCTGTTCAACGATCCGTCCGTCCTTGAGAACCATAATCACAAATTAGTACCGCATCACCAAGAGAAAACACCCAAAAACCACTCACTAATCAGTCCCCTTAATTGTACTCAATCTATCCGCAATACTCAAACAACTCCTTCCATCCACAAGTCTCCCAGGCGCACCCTCCAACACTCCGCGCTCCGTCGCACTATCCAATGCACCAGTAGCCTCATCTAAAAGCAGCACCCTCATATTCTTCACCATAGTACTAGTAATCGCCACCCGCTGCTTCTCACATCCACTCAGCATCTCTCCCCAACCTTCGTCTCATGCCCCTCTGGGAAACTCATGATACGTTCATGCATCTGAGCAGCTTGGGCGCATGAGACGATGAAATTATACCCGGTGCTGGTGTTGAAGAGCACGGGGTCATGGGGTACGACGCCTATTGCGCGCGACGCAGGCTTGAGAACGTTACTGTGCGGATGTCTTGACTGTCGATTAGAATACACCCTGAGTCAGGTTGGAGGCTGTAGAGATGGTGGAGGAGGCACAGGATTGCGCTTGTGCATGCTCCGCTTTCGCCAACAAGGGCAACGCGCCCGCCGCGAGGGACTTTGAAGGAAATACTGTGCGGTGCGGAAGTTCGGTCGTTGTAGGAGAAGGATACGTTGTTTAAGATGGAGCAAGGGCTGCGCACCACATTCAACTTCGCCATTCGTGACTACCAACTCCTTGGCATCGCGTTCATCGACAATTTCAGTGAGCTCATCGAGGAGGTGAAGCAATTTCTCGGTATCGACGGGGCTTTGGTCGGTATACGCCACCGAGGTTTGACGGAGGGAAGTAGAGCTGGTGTGGATGTCATCAGCATGGTTGTGATCAGAAGATGTCAGCTCAGCATCACACAAAAGAGTTGAGGTACCCATCTGTGCATAATAGGTGATGAATACCACAAACTCGCTAGTATTACTTTGTCCCCTCGTGATGCGTGATGCGCGACGCGACGATCAAAGAACTGACCAGAAGACCGGAGGTGATGATGAGTGTTTGTTCGAGGTTCAGGAGGTTGAGAGATACTACAGGTGTGATCAGCATTTGCATGAGCGAGCGAAATGAAACGCAGGTTTGGTTTGAGAATGAGGAACGATTTTGAAATAAGATGAGACGATGAACGACCCTCTTCTCCAAACTCTGATACTCCCCAATAGCCTCTGTATACCTCTGCGTCTCGTACTCTCCCCACCGAAATACTCGACAGTCTCGTAATTAAGGAGACAATCCGTATAGATCCAACGCGTGACCTGAGCATGCGTGCAATTATGATCCACTTCATAATCATAGACAGAACGAAGCAGCACTGAGCACTCACCACACATAGCTCGTAAGCGTGATATTCGCCCAGATATAACTTTCCATCACGACTCTAACCACAACGCCCAACGCAGGTTCGAATCTCACAATAAACACGACGTGCGCAGCACATATATCCACGAGTGCAGGAATCACCATGAACCAAATAAGCTCGCTAACACGGTTTATTGCGCTTCCTTTATCGAGAATACGGAGCAGCTCGCCAGTATTGCATTTCATATGCCAGCTGAGAGAAAGAGCAAGGATACGGTTGAATGACATGCTGCGAGACCGCCTGGAGATGCGAGGAACCGGAACCGATCGTAGGTGATTAGGTACGGCCACGGGCTGGTGCCGAATGCAGGGAATATAGTTATGCCTGGTATGTCGAAGGTAGCAACCAATGCGCCGAGTGTGAGAGAAAGCAATGCGTGACTATAATATGTACCCCAAATCAAGGATAAGGAAACAGATTAACTGAGAGGTTAGTTGGGGTGATAAAATGCAAGGGAGGTACGCAATCCGATGAATTGCAGCTTTGGATAGTGGGAGGGCCAGAGATGGGGCGTGAGACGAGTTATGCAGGTCAAGAGTTCCCATCATGATCATGAGGAATCGACAGTTATTTGGCACATGGTTATCTGCGGAAGCGTGAGGTTGCGTTACACTAGATTAGCAGCCCTATATACTGACCTTTTCTGGCTCTCCCACACCTGAAATTGATTATTGGGGACACACAACGGGTGGTAGGACCGAAATAGAAGAACACTATTTAGTGATACTACTAGGACCGTCTGCATCTTCTAGTTGCAACACTGCGAAAAAAGTCATGAAGGTCATGTTGAGATATGTGGTGGTCCAACGGTATACATACAACACGTATTCGACGGCACTTCTCATCGGACAGTGGGCTGCGATGATCATTGCTGAAGCGCTTAAGCCTACTTGGGTATCAATTGGCTGATATTGTGCTTACATAAGTGCTGTACAAACATAAGTTTTCCTACCCTGGTACAGTACTACGCACTAAAGCTACTGATGATAGTACATGATATATACGGCGGTCAGTCGTTACCACGGCAGCGGGTCTGTTGGTCTACTACGTGTACACGAATGCTTTTGCGACCTTCGAAGCTAATTCTTTCTTCATGCCACATTGACCCTCGAGGTCTTCCTGTAGTTTATCCTCCTTGTCCTTGTCCTCTGGATCAGGTTGCCTGAACCGTCGCATGAACGCGCTGACTATCCCCTCCTGCTTCCATTCCCCAGACACTGGCGTAATGGCCGCATGCTGCCGGATCAGTCCATGCACGACTTCCCTCGATGTCTTGTACTTCATCATGACATCTCTATCCTTCAGGGTCGTTACGCATGCATGTCCCTTCACGGCGATCTGGAACTCTTCTAACGATGCACGGTTCCGCGTCCACCATTCCTCCATGACTTTCTCGTCCTCGAGGCACGTCACTACCATGACTATGGGGACTCGCCGCTGATATAGTACATCATGGAACAACTGGTAGTTGTTCCGCAATGCGCTATTGACACGCTGTTTTTTAACGCAATATACCAACAAACTGGTGCCGCCGCATTCATCAAGCTTGCGGAGAAGGCGACTGGCATTCTTGATGGATCGGTGGTATTCATCCGACTCGAGCTCTGGGTTCTCGATACCCATCGTGTCGAAGATATTGCATTGCATCCCGTCATCAAAGAACTGGGGTAACACATGTTTGGTCCATGTGAGGGTGCAGCGCTTGAGGTCGGAGCCTGTTTTAGCGATCTTTTTATCTGCAATGAGGTTTATGAGGGAACTCTTTCCGGCGCCCATTGCGCCGAATATAACGATGTTTTTAGCGTTAACGGCGTTTTTTTTCTTCGCCATCGCGATGTGTATAATGAGTAGCTGACGAGTTTGGGGATGTAGTCGAGGTGAAGTGAATTCTTCCTTTGAACGGTCAGAGTTGACGTGACTTTTCCTAGCTAGGATCTGTCAGTGCTGATGCCTTGCGCCCTTATATGATGCTGAAGCTTTCTGCCACGACTTTCCCGTGCCCTTGCTTGATCTTTGGCACGCGACAGTCGTGCTACTATGGGCGGAGGCGTAACTGGGATACGTATCGGGTATATCTAAAGTATGCAGCATGCCGCCTTGAAGACCCTCGTGCAGAGCCGCAAGCATGAGGTAGTCAGTACGGGAGTTTTGAGTTGCAGCTGGGCAACACGCACAAGAACTGTTGTAGGTGAGTGTGCTCTACGTTGAATCTCCAAGTATCTCACATCGTAAAAAGAATAGCAGATCTGAACATTCTAGTCCTGCTACAGTCGTATTACATGGTGATGACCAATCGTAATGAAACAGCCTCTATATCCAGCTATCGTAACGAGTAAACTCGCGTCATTTATGAAGTTTTTGGATCACATCTTTTGCTAGGCCATCCTCCATCCCGCAGCGCTTCGTGAGGACCCCAAGAACGTCTGACTTGCTTGGACGTCCTGTTAAGAGGTCCTTCAACTTTCCAATGAATCGGCCAAGCCACCCATCTCCTCCATTCCAGTCCACTACCGTATCCTTATTCCGTGTGATCAAGTCACTCACTTCCTTTTTGGATGCGTCGTACTTCTTCTTGTATTTTGGATCCAGGTTGGCCGCTGCAGTGATACAAGCATGATCAACACACTTGACTGCATGACGGTCGAACGATCCCTTGTTTCGCGTGTACCATTCATCCATGGGGTCTTCCCTCTCCAGGTGGGTAACGATGAGCGCAACTGGTATCTTCTCCTCGAAGAAAAATTCATAGAATAGCCTGTAGTTGGTGACGAACGTCGGTGGTATCCTGCCTGCCTTGATGCAGTACAGCAACAAATGGACTCCACCGTTAACCCTCAGCTCCTTCATCAACTTGTCAGCGTTGATGACAGCGTCGAGAAATCCGCTAGGATCCATGCGGTTCCCGTCGACCCCGGCAGTATCATAGATACGATACGGCGCGCCCTTGATGGTAACATCATACGCTTCATAGCGCAATGTACAATGTTTGGTATCCGGAGAGGTCCTAGCAACATGGTGCCCTGCGAGAAGGTTGATGATGGAGCTTTTCCCGACGCCACTTTCTCCAAAAATGACAATATTTTTGGCAGACATTGGCAATGGACCTAGCACGGCGCTTCTTCAGTACTGGGTTTCTAGCATAAAAGGGGGCACAACGGTGAACTCACGATTATAGCAAAGTTGTTTCTCCTGGCTGGGTGGTCGATCTTCGATGAGAGCGACAATTCAACGGTTTCTGATACTTATGCACTGCAGGCAGGACACGGTGCACAACGAAGATTGTGACCTGCAAAGCTAACATGAGGCTGGGTATCGACTACCCTTTTTCGTTGACACTAGAACCAAACTTTGGCAGTTGCAACGTGCAAGCAACGTTGTGCAGCGCTGGCTGTGAAACGGAATCGATCTTGTTTCATCTTCCCAAAACTGGCAGGTCAGAATTCGAAATCGTGCACCCTCCAATTGATGATCCGTAGTTGGCCGGGATATATCGACCCATACTCCTCGAGAGTCATATGCCCCGCACCACCATATATGTAACACGCCAAGATTGTGCTGCTTGTTACCAGTAGGTAGACCGCAACAGCGATTTCGACATCGTCAAGACTCAGACAGCTGTCAAGTTTTCGATAGGTCATTAATTTAAACAGCACGCGCCAACCTTGCGTCCTCCTCCTGCTTCGGAAGTTATCTAGAAGGCTGGCCGAATTGTCGATCCGGCAGCACTCAAATGCATTCCTTCATGCCAATCATGTTCATAGGTAGCTTGTATTGACTTTCAATCCAGTTAGCGAGCAGTAAGATAGTATTCAATCTGAGCTCGGCTTTTGCACTCGTACGTAGATAAGTCTCGAACACGCACCATTTCAAAGTCTGATACAGTGATGCCTCGAGGTCCAGATAAGATAAATCGCGCAAAGCCGCCACCCACAGGGTGATACAAGACTATGGAAGTAAAGATCGAGTGAAGAGAGGGACATCGGATGGTCCAGGCGAGGACTGGTTCAGAGTGCCTCTTAGAAAGTTATAAACACATAAAGCAGATCAGTGTGCACACGACCCCACATACGAGTGTGCAAGTATCGCATAGTGTGTTGCGGGACTCATTCAATTTCATTGTGAAAGAAAACATCATGAGTTGAGTCATCGAACGTTGACGAGTACTGGCGAGAGACATGATGAGTTAAAGGTCCGCTAGTCCCGAGACGATCGGACCTGCGGGCTGGACTCGGCTGAGGTGCGTCAAATATATATGGTCTCTTTTCATTTTCGACCCACAGCGCCGCAATATTATAGCTGCGGTCGAATCATTCACCCTAGATGTTCGACCTCGAGTGCTTATCTTCTTGCGTCCACCTGACAAACTATAAGTCTGTAAGTGCAACCTGTAGTCGAGTCCCTTGATCACATTGGGGTATTCGATACATTGCAAGTCATCGGTATTATTGATATATTTCTCAGGAAATGTCGCCAGGTAGCAACTCGTTCGAAATTGCCCGTACTGCTAGATCAAGGGTCTTCGACTAGTACTTAAGAAGGAAGCGAATGCAAGGCTAGCGCGTGCCGTCAGGGAGTTATCGAGATTTGACAGCATTCAAGATGACAACATTACTATATTGTGGCTGCGCCTACCTGCTAACAGCGAGCAGTACGAGCGCTGGGAGCGTTGGCAGGGTTTGCAGTGGTGCAGGGAATATCACTCTCAGGGAGTCATAACTGCAGTGGACCACTGGCGGACACCAACCAGGCATGTCAAGATAATCGATTATAATTCATACTTCACGACTGCAGCACAACGTTTCTCACATGCCGCACCTGCGAAAAAGGGAAACTGGAAATGTCCAGCCTCGCGATTGGTTTGCAGGTCGTAATCTTCATTGCATCACTGTTTTGTGTCTGCAAGTGGCGTACTCAGTATCAGAAGTCATTAATTCCTCGCTTTCGTCCAAGATCATCCACTCAGCCAAAAACAATAACCTGTTGTAACCGTGAGCTCACCGTTGTTTCATTGCCAGCTAAAACCTAGTACTGAGGAACTACCATACTAGGTCTATTGTCGATGGATACCAAAAACATCGTCCTTTTTGGGGAGCGTGGCGTAGGGAAAAGCTCTATCATCAACCTCCTTGCAGGGCGCCGGGTCGCTAAGATCTCCTCAGACACCGATGTTTGTACGTTGCATTACGAAGCGTATGATGTTACCATCGAGAACGTACCGTATCGCATCTATGACACTGCTGCGGCCGACAACGACCGTGTGGACCCCATCGAATTTCTCAACGCCATCACCAATGCTGGCGAGCTGATGAAGGAGCTGAGAAAGAAAGGAGGAGTCGCTCTGCTCCTGTACTGCATCAAGGCGGGCAGGACGCCAACAATGTTTGCCACCAACTACAGACTATTCTATGAATTTCTCTTCGAGAAGAAGATTCCAGTCGCAGTCGTCGTTACTAACCTGGAGAGAGAGGATTGCATGGATGATTGGTACGCGCGGAACAAGGAGTGGTTCGAGCGTCATGCGGTCAAGTGTATTGGTCATGCTTGTGTCACTGCGGCAGACGATCTGGACCCAACATACAGGAAAAAGTACGACATGTCCAGAACAGAAGTGGGCCGCTTAATCAGACGCCATGCACATGGGGCGGAGAACGGCGGGGATGCGTGGCTTGCGAGGTTCACTGGAGGGTTGAAAGACCTCTTGACCGGACGTCCATACAAGTCAGACGCGCTCGGGGTCCTTACGAAACGCTGCGGGATGGAGGAGAGCCTAGCAAAAGATGTGATTCGAATTCTTGCTCCTGAAAGGTATTTAGTTTCCATATAGGCCGTTCGCGCCGTATTTTTCTAACCTGAGACACTACTTAGCACTACCAAGACCATCCGTCCTAAAACGGCTGAAAGGTGCGTGGTCTTCAGGTGCCGTATTTTTCTAGTCTGAGACGCTACATAGCACTATCCAGACCATCCCTTCTGCAATGGCTGCAAGGTACGTAGTCTTTAGATGCTCTTGCCATAATTGTTCAAATATTGATAAGTAGAACCGAGCGTAACACGACTCCTAGTATGTCTGGGCCGCAGCTGCAACTGGTTAAGGATCATAACCTTCCTAAAAGGCGTGTAGTCTCTAGATGCTCTGTATTTCCATAATATTAACAAACAAGAACAGGCACAAAACTATCGTACTATTTGGGGAGGCGGGAGCAGGCAAAAGCTCACTCATCAACCTCATGGCGGGAGAGGAACTAGCGCCAACATCTCCTGACATGCAACGCTGTACAATGCAATGGAAAGAGTACACCATCAATTTCGGCGGAGACTCATACCAGGTTTTCGATACCGTTGGGCTCGAAGAACCACAGCTGGGAATGAAAGAATACCTCGAGTCTGTCGAGAACACCTATCGACTCATTAAGGAATTGGACAGACGAGGCGGCATTGATCTACTTATATTCTGCATTTGCCCCGGAAACATCATCACTACGATTCAGAGAAACTACCGACTATTTCATGAATTCCTTTGCGAGAAGAAGACCCCCGTTGCTCTTGCGATCGCGGGCCTCGAAAGGGAGCGGAGGATGGAGGACTGGTGGGAGAGAAACAAGAGGACCTTCGACAAATATCAGATCCAGGTCGCTGGTCATGCGTGCATCACTACCACAAACAGATTGGGCAGCGGATACAGAGACCTTTATGAAGAATCACGCATCACGATCCGCAAACTTGTTACAAAGTGTACCGCTGACGAGCAGAAGCAAACACGGATGGGAGAGGACAACTTGTTCGTGTCGTTGATGCGTAAACCGAAGGAGCTACTTGCAGGCAATTCGCATATGAAAACGAAGGATCTCGTCCCTCTTCTCATGGAGCGTTGCAGTATGTCTGAGGATGTTGCAGTACAGTTGGCTAATATGATCAAGCAAGACGAATAGATTTGTACTTAATCACTTTAACCCCTTTCTATGCCTTTGCTCACTCCGTTGCAACTGTAGACTTGGTCCTTATCAATGATACGATACAATCCATGACATGCCTGTTGTACTACATAGTTCGGATATTATTACATCACATTCGTCTTCAGTTTCCCTTCGTTTCATGTGCTAGGATTCCGTCTGCAGGTTATATAAATTACAACCACACACATAGCAAATACAAAGTAGATAAACACACGCCCAAAATTGAACAGGCCAAGATCCACGGAACTACGTTTCGCTGCCAAAGCGAACATCTGACCGAGCAATCTCAATACAGCATCGCAACGCGTGTATATATCGAGAAAAAAAATCCAAGTCGCATGTCGTTAAAAAATGCATGTCAATGATCAGAGAGTGATGATGATGTGTCGTAGCAGGGCAATGGATGCTACCGCTGGGAATGCTTGGAGTACGTTACCTGAGGTGGGGAATGCTACGGGTACGTGTCCTTTGGCTTGTAGAGGTGGAGGAGGTGGAGGATGATGAGTTTGCGCATGCTGCTTTCGTTGACGAGGGCTACGTATCCTCTGCAGGAAGCTTGGAAGAGATGTTGTGCAACGCGGATTTTTTGTTGTCGTAAGGGGTAGTTCGGATGGATTGGGAGGAAAGGGTGCGCACCGAATTCAACTTTGTCGTTTGAGACCACTATGTCTTTGCATCAGCGGAATCAACCGATTTGGTTGGTTCAGCAAGGATGCTTGATAGCCCCTTGGTATCAACAAGACTTTGGTTAATTGCGCAGTGTAATTAGAACTAGTGTGATTAGAGGTCATCAGCTCTTCACTGCAGGAGACACATGATAGTACCCACCTGTGCATAAGAAGTGATAACAAGGTCGCTGGTATTGTGGCACCTTGTGATGCGAAGTGCGACGAACAATGAACCAACCAAAAAACTAGAGATAATGATGAGCGTTTGGACGACTCAGAGGTTCAAAGGACGCTCAGGTCTAGAAATCATGAAAGTATTTTTTTGAGATAAGACGATAGAATAGCGTTCACAAACATCTCTCTTCCAAAGTCTGGTAATTTATTCAGCAGACAATCCACGCAGATACTCCAAGTGATCTGCACGCGTACATTAACATAGAAAAAATTGGCAGGGCGTCTCCGACACCGGCCGCTGGAGGATGCGAAGAAGCCGGGGACATAGCTCGATGAGATGAAGTAGAGCAATAGATTTGAATCGAGTGCGGGGAAGGGAACCGCATCCCGGGTGTCAAATGTGCAGATCTGAGTGCTTGCTAAGTGTGAAGGGAAGCAAGGCATTAAGTCCGAGAACAAGAATGAGGAAACAGATTAATTAGGGAGCGATCAATGACTGAGGATTTATGGGTTGGTGAAATGTACGTACTGTGATGAATTGAATAACAAAAGGACCAGAGATGGGGCGTGAAGCGAGATATACGGGTGAAGAGTTCCCGCTACGAGGAATTGACGAGACCGTTCATGTCACAGCATATCCCTTGAGTTGTTTCTCTTACAACCAGATGAGGCAGACCTTGACGACCCTAGCAGAACCCGCTAATATAATATGCGCATGTGCATCCCAAATTCCAAGCGTGCGATCAACCTAACTCCGAGTCTTCCTTAGACAACCTTGCGCGAAGTCACTATCACGACGCGGGGGAAGAAGAACGCGATGAGGAGAGGGAGGAGGCGAGGATGGATGCGTTTGAGAGGTAGGACATGATGCAAAAGATTTGAGATGCAATGCAGACCTGACTCAAAGACGGATTAGATTGAAAAGGTAGATGGATTTACAAGTCGATTGTAAATTGTGAACGTTTCTGGTTTCTGGTTGCAAGAGCAAAGTGTTGGTAACTTAACTTATGTAGAGACATGCTGTTGGCATGCATATATATGAGGAGCAGTCTTGAGGAGGGACTTATAATAGATTAATAGTAATTTGATACGGAGTATTGAAATCATAGTCGATGGAACCGAGTAGGCAAATTTATAACCTTACACATCTCTCAGAGCTTTGATTCGAACGTCATGGTACCACACACTGGCCTGTGGAAGACTGTTCAAACCTTGTCCAAAGCCGCCATATATGTGTTACTACATTAATAAACGAGTCCCTGCACGAATTCTGGACCTGAATTCAATCTATTATCCACGCTCTAGGCGATGTCGTAAAAGTGGCTATTGAATGAGCGCCTTACATTTGAACTTGAACACTGGTCTACTTCACTTCCTAGAGCTTGAGCTTGCCTCCTGCAAATACGCCTTACCCATGATGGGACCTGCACCCGAAGAGTGAGCCTTCTCCCATAATTATTGCCTTCATCCTTCATTTTTTTGCAGCGATATCCCTAGTGATTTCACACCCCAAATTTCTGAGAAGTTGAAGCTCGCGCGTCCATGCGCATCTGGGTCCTTCGGTGACGTGTATCGGTTCACCATCGAGATCAACAAAGGCACAACAGAGGTTTGTCTTACCAACTTGTTTGATCGCATCAACCATCCAACTAACATCCATCAGGTCGCAGTGAAGGTGGTCAAGATCCATCCTCCCAAGAGATCTATAGAGAAAATTGAGAAGGTCAGTCACATCTAACTGGAGCGTGCCGACTCAAATCACAAATTTCTCAATGGTCTATGTAGGCGATGCGTCGGGAACTCAAGGTGTGGCTTAGACTGTCAAAATACCCAACTATCGTACCACTACTTGGTATCGCACACGTTGGGTCTCATTTGCCGGGTCTCATTTCGCAATGGATGCCCTCTGGTACATTGTACATGTACTTCGAGCAAGGTACAGTCACCGCTTCCGCTAAAGCTCAATTGGTGAGTCTTGTTCACCGCTCACATTCGTCGAGCATTGATCGATTTCATGCTACAAGGTAACAGGCATTGCCGAGGGCCTCAGGCATCGTTCGTATTCCCTATCCTATTGTTATTTTTGTTCTTGATGTCCATCTAGTCCACTCGGAGAATGTTATTCACGGAGACCTCCATCCCGTATGTGTGGCCGTCTCTTTGTGGATATTGCACTCATTCATAAACCTCAGGCAAATGTACTCATAGATGGTGTGGGGAATCCACTTCTCACCGATTTCGGTCTCGCAACAGTTGTAGGAGACCCAGATTTGCAGTGGGGTAGCACAACCGCAGGCAGCGACTTCAATCCTCGATGGCGGGCGCCCGAGGTCATTGGAATCAAGGGTGACCCTGAACTACCGACTTTCGAGAGTGATATATATTCCTTTGGCGGTGTCATGATTTTTGTGCGATCTTGTTGTATTTCTTCTAGCTTCAACCTAAGCTTTTTCCTCTCAGGTGGTCTCGGGGGACGTGCCATGGAAACATAAGGGGGCATTTCAAATTGTCGCTGCGCTGGCGGAACGAGCCAACCCTGTCAGTGCACGTCCCCACAACATTCTAGACAATCACTGGGTCTTGATTCAGAAATGCTGGTCTTGGGACCCATTGGATCGCCCGAGGGCTGTGGAAGTGCTTGGATGTATTCATCAGTTTTCATTCATCCATTAGTCCGCCTCACTTACTGAAACCCACTAGCTATACGTGTGACGGGACTCGCAATTGAAGAGTGAGTTTTCCTCCACTATGTGCCCTTCACCTTTTGTCATACTTTGCAGCAATACCCTTGGCGACTTCACATCTCAAATTTTTGACGCGTTAAAGCTCGGACGCCCGTATGCATCTGTATCCTTCGGCGCAGTTTATCGGTGCAGCATCAAAACCGACGAAGGCACTATGGAGGTTTGTTTGTTCAATTTGTCTGAGACCATCAATCATCCAACTAAAATCCACCAGGTCGCAGTGAAGGTGCTCAAGATCGATCCTGGGAGAGCTATGGAGAAAATTGAGAAGGTCAATCACATCTTACTAGAGTGTGCCGACTCAAAATCATGCTTGCTCAATAATCTATATAGGCAATGCGTCGGGAACTCGAACTATGGCTTAGACTGTCAAAGCATTCAACTATAGTGCCGCTACTTGGCATTGCATACGTCGATTCTTCATTGCCAGCTCTAGTTTCTCAATGGATGTCGCCTGGGACATTGTATATGTACCTCGAGCAAGGTACAATTACTGCTTCCACTAAAGTTGAATTGGTGAGTCTCTTGTTCACCAACCATATTCGCCAGGCATTGATTGATTTTATGCTACAAGGTCATGGGCGTCGCGGGTGGCCTCAAGTATCGTTCGTAGATCCTTATCCTGTTATTAATTTTGTTCTTGATGCCTGTTCAGTTCACTCCGAGGGTGTCGTTCACGGAGACCTTCATCCTGTATGTGCAGTTGTCTCTCTGTGGATGTTGCACTCATTCATCGGCCTCAGGCAAATGTGCTCATAGACGATTTAGGCAATCCACGTCTCACAGATTTTGGTCTCGCAACAGTCGTAGGAGACCCAGAGTTGCAGTGGGGTGCGACAACTGCGGCACGTGAACTCAATGTTCGGTGGCGTGCTCCTGAAGTTATTGGACTCGAGTATGATCCTGCAAAACCGACTTTTATGAGTGATATCTATTCTTTTGGTGGTGTCATGTTCCTTGTGCGATCTCTGTGATTTTTGCTGCTCTATTCTAAGCCTTTCCTTCTCAGATCCTCTCAGGGGTTACACCATGGAAAGAGAAGAAACATTCAACTCACATCATCATCGAGCTATCGAAAGGAGCTACTCCTGCACGTCCCGACAACATTTTGGACGATTACTGGGGATTGATTCAACAATGCTGGTCTTGGGACCCTGTGCGTCGTCCAGAGGCAACGGAAGTGCTTCGATACATCGATCAGTTTACCCAACATCAGGTGAATAACTCTAGTTTTTGGTTGGTGCGATTTGGCTTCAATGCTTATTAACCAGGCTGAAATCATGGCAACAAGTGCAAGCCAGTCTTCCTCGCGAGATTCACCAAGCCAAGCCAAGCCATCCACTCCTCCAACACGCCATATCTTCACTTCGGTCTCAACGCTGGTGAGTGTCTTCTGGTGCATCATTTTATGATTACTTATCATGCGAGAAGTCACTTTCGGAACCTTTCAATGTTTTGATCTTTGGGGAGACTGGAGTAGGCAAAAGTTCCATTATCAATCTGATCATGGGACGAGATGCTGTACAGACGTCGTCAAATCAAGAAACCCCCACGTTCACACATACCCCCTATGAAGTCAGCATTGGAACCTACCGTTTCAAACTTTGGGAAGTTTCGTCCATCGAATCAACGGGTTTTTTCCGGACCTTATTTTTGAAATGGCGCCTGAAAAAGTCATACAAGAAACTGTGCGAAGACAATGGGGTATATCTTCTCTTGTATTGTATGAAGGGATCAATGGCCGAGAAGGCACTGGTCAAGGATTATAAATCCTTTACTGATATCGTCGGCTCGACTGCTGGTTCAGGCCGCATACCAGTCGCCGCTGTGGTTACCTTCATGGAAGGTTATCCTCAGAACATGGATCAATGGTGGACAAGTAATAAGGATAATCTGGAACGCCTCGGGATGCGGTTCTCCGCACACGCTTGTATCACTTCCCTCCCTGACAATCCACACGCATCACCCGCCATGCGTGGACGTCGACAGCGGTCAGAAGATGTTATCCGCAGCCTCCTCTATCAGTCCTATCAAATGGGCAGTACCCCCGTCATCTCCAATATAGTGTCCGCTTCTTGAAACAATTGTGGTTCTTGGATTTATGTTAGCGTCTGTATGGTTGGGTCACTACGCATGCTACTTTATGATACTTCAAGGATACTCTGGCTTGTATACTTACTGCTCCAGCGTAGAAATCATGAACGGTTGTTTGTACTATCTAATTACCAATTCTACATCCTGGTACCATCACAGCATGTGCATATTTTCCTTTCGTTTGCACTACATATAAATTACAGCTAGGACTCGGATGCATATTTGAACCAATTGAGTGTGGATTTAGAACGGCACAAAGACACCCGAAACTTGAAAGTGTGGGCGATAGTCGCCACCCCAGTCACTGCTTTCAGTGACAACTATTTGTCATATTGATACATCAGGGTTTGGAAAATCCGTCTAAGTACCTCGCACTTAAGAGTGGGGGTGGGGTGGGGAGCTTGTCCTGCCACTGTAGGACATTCCACCAAGAGCGAGAGTGACAGGAAAGAGATTTGGCTTCGTGTGATCATTTGTATTTGATTGCACATTGTCACAAACTCTTAATAATGACATCCATACTGCAAGATCGTCAACTACCTCACAGTGGAGCGCGTCCATACACGTACGACGTATCTGGTAGTTGAAGTGCGGGGTCCAGTTGCCGTGGAGGAATCCTGATCAACAACCTCGAACGCGCTGGAAGAGGGCCATAATAGTAAGGGCAGTTAGGATAGAGCTACGACATGAAACCAGGTATGGGGGATTGACGCAAAATCGTGTAAAAATATGTCTGTTGAACTGGCATACCGTTTCAGAAGTAGGGAAAGATGACGCAGTGATCAGCACAGGACTACTTCGGTGCTATCACTGGAGCTCCGAATCATTGATTGGAACATGGACTAGCAGGTATCCAGTGAATGGTGTCGTGTCATACATAATCCACCCAGAGTCCTGTTCACGGTCGTGTATTATTACTGCAGAATAATCTTGAAAGAATCAGCGTCAATCACAAGCTAAATCAATTTGCTTACGAAAAAAGCTTCAGAGTGTTGGAACACGATACCTGAGAGGCTATTGATTAATGATGAACAAACACAAAGATCAGTGTGGGAGGGTAAGAGCCCTGCTCAGCATTAGCATAACCTCACTGACGTTCGCAGGACCTTTCATACCTTTCAAAGTTTCTGGAAGAGTGCGCCAGCATATTTCAGGGCAGTAACAGCTCCACGCTCATCCAAAGTTCCGCTCTTCTAGGCGTTAATTGAGGAATGCCGTATCTGAATTACGACTTGGTACAGCGGACTGATACATTTGCCATGCTTGCATCTCGGACGCTCGTTTCTCATGATGCAGTCGTGCACCTGAGGAGCTTTTGCTTTCAGGGGGATGAGTAGTTGATGATGAGCCAGAAGCGATGTTGTACCCCATGCTACTGTTGAGGAGCACAGGGTTTTGTGGGACTGTACCAATCGCGCGATGGATGCTTGAGAGTGTTATTATTCGGATATCCCGTCCTTCGATCATTTGGAGGTCATAGAATCGGTAGAGGAAGCGAAGGATGGTTATCTTGCCTGCTCCGGACTCGCCAACAAGGGCTACACATCCTCAGGGAGGGTAAGGTATTTGGAGGAGATGTTGTGTAGCGTGGGGATTGGCTGTCGCAGAACAAGCACCCGTTTTGTATTGGGTAGTTTGTGAGGATTAGGATGGGTATGCAGGGAAGGAGACCAATTCCTCAGTATCAGGTGCTCAGAGTCACCTGGAAGACGTAAGCTCTCGGTAGCCTCCCCTAGGCCTAGTCAGATCATATAGAAGGAAGACAGCCGGCGTAAATAGGTGACGAACGCCACGTCACCGCGACGTAAGTGCAAAAAATGGCACAAGTCGATTGCACATGGACACCTCACACTGCACCTCACACAAAGCAAAAAGCATTCAATACCACATCTCGCTCACCTACCTCCATATGTATACTGTTCCGATGCCTCGTCAGCGCCACGCTCGCCATCACGACTCCTACCACAACGCCCAGACGTATGCCTGCAGTGTGCACAGAAGGTCATAAGATAAAACTTGGAGTAAGTAGGGCCATGGACTATGGGAAAGGGTACAACGTCAAGGGTGCCAAAGGTGCTGATGCTCATCGACCATGTGTTTGATAAGCAGGAAGCCATTAATGAGGCGATGGGCTGCACGGAATGTACATTGTACGTATTGTGCCAATGAAATGACATTACACGATTCGTCCGCGTCAATTCCCGAATCGTACCATTACGGGTCCATCCACATGGAGGCCTCGAGGCGATATGATCAGTAATACAGTCTGGACTGTGCAGCATGCATGCTACCAGGCTTTCTTACAAATCTCGGTGAATGCCTTGCAAAGATCGGATCGCAAATGTAGTCGCTTCACTCCTTGAAACCATCCTCCAAAGGTAGCCCTACCCATGACAGAACCCGCACCTGAAGAGTGAGCCTTCTTGGAGTTCAATGACCATTGCCTTGACGTTTTATATCTTGCAGCGATAGTAGTGCTCCTAGTGACTTCACATCTCAAATTTCTGAGACGTTGAAGCTTGGATCTCCATGTAATTCAGGTTCCTTCGGCGTGGTTTATCGACGTACCATCAAGTCGAGCAAAGACTCAATGGAGGTCTGTCTGACTAACCAACCCTCGTGAATCGACCATCGAATATCCATTAGGTAGCAGTGAAGGTGTTCAAGATTGATCCCGGGAGAACTATGGAGAAAATTGAAAAAGTGGGTCAACTAACTAGATTGTGATCACTTCGCTCCATGATCTGTGTAGACAATGCGTCGGGAACTCCTGGTTTGGCTAAGATTGAAGCACTCGACTATCGTACCGCTACTTGGCACCGCGACGGTCGAGTCTCCATTTCCGGCTCTCGTTTCCCAATGGATGTCTTCTGGGACATTATATATGTACCTTGAACAAGTTACCGCTACCGTTTCAACTAAAATTGAATTAGTGAGTCCCTTGTTCACAACAATCACATTCGCCAAGCATTCATCAGTTTTATGCTACAAGGCCATAGGCGTTGCTGATGGCCTGAATTACCGTCAGTCGCCTTCTATCATTATCTCATTATTGTTGTTTTTCATACTTACCCAGTTCACTCGGAGAATATCATCCACGGAGACCTTCATCCTGTATGTACAGTTATCTCTCTGTGGATGTTGCACTCATTCACAAGCCTTAGGCAAATGTGCTCATAGATGATTCGGGGAATCCACGTCTCACGGATTTCGGTCTCGCGACAGTCGCAGGGGATGCAGAATTGCAGTTGTCCATGACGACCGCGACCCGCACCTTAGATTCTCGATGGCGTGCGCCTGAAATCGTTGGAATCGAGCGTGACCCTGAAAAACCGTCTTTCAAGAGTGATATCTATGCCTTGGGTGGTGTTATTTTCTTTGTGCGATCTCAGTGTTTTCTGCCCCTCTATCCTAATCCGTTTCCTCCCAGATCATCTCGGGGGATGTACCATGGAAGGAGAAGAATTCGGTTCAAATCTGCATCACGCTGTCGCAAAAAGCCGAACATCCGCGTCCCGACAACATCCTTGACTATCACTGGACATCAATTCAAAGATGCTGGTCTTGGGATGCGCGGAATCGCCCGGATGCTATGGAAGTCATTGAATGCATTACACCGAAGAACATCATCATTTTCGGGGAACGTGGCGCTGGGAAGAGCTCCGTCATCAACCTCCTGGCAGGTAGGAAGGTCACTGAGACCTCGTCAGACCAGGACAGTCTTACATTGCATTACGACGCATATGGTACCACCATCGACGGCATACCGTATCGCATCTATGATACTACTGGGTTCGATGACTACCGCACGAACCCTAGCGGATTCCTTTACGCTATCACCAATGCTCACAAGTTGGCTAAGGAGCTCCGTGAGAAAGGAGGAGTCAATCTGCTGTTGTACTGTATCAAGGGGGACATAATACCACCAACATTCATCACTAACTACAGGCTCCTCTATGAGCTTCTCTTTGAGGAGAAGGTACCAATCGCGCTCATCGCCACTCACCTAGAGAGAGAGGATCACATGGACGATTGGTACAACACGCAACAAGGGATGGTTCGAGCGTCAGGCGGTCAAACATGTCGATCATGCTTGTATCACTACAGCGGACAATCCGGACCCGAAGTGCACGGAGAAGTACGAAATGTCCAGAACAGAATTGGGCAAATTGATCAGTCGACAAGCACAACACTGGAATAGAGGGGATTGGTCGCATGCGAGGGCCGTTGAGGCAGATGACTCCTCAATCGGGCAAGCAAGCAAAGCAGACGTTCTTAGAGTCCTCACGAAGCGCTGCGGGTTGGGGGAAAGCTTAGCAAAGGTCGTGATTCGAAATCTTGCTCCTAACATGGTTCAAAGGTATGTAGTCTTCAGAGGCTATTTGCGCTTTTTTTTCTAACGGCAGACGTTATATAGCAGTGTCCGGACCATTCCTCCTGAAATGGCTGAAAGGTCTGTAGTCGTCAGATGCCGTTTGCGTCGTACTTTTCTAACGTCGAGCTCTACCTAGCACTATTCGGACCATCCGTTCTGAAATGACTGAAAGGTATGTATTGTTCTGATGTCGTTTGCGTCGTACTTTTCCAACCTCAAACACTACATAGCACTATCCAGACCACCCCTCCTGAAATAGTTGACAGGTATGTAGTCTCCAGATAACGTTTGCGCAGTATTTTCCAACCTTAAACCCTACATAGCACTATCCAGATCACCCCTCCTGAAATGGTTGAAAGGTTTGTAGTCTTCAGACACCGTTTGCGTTGTAGTTTTCTGATCTCAAACGTTACCTAGCACTATCCGGACCATCCGTCCTGAGATGTCCGAAAGGCACGTATTCTTTCAGATGCTGTTTGCACCGTATTTATCAAACGTCATGTAGCACTATACAGACCACTCCTCCTGATATAGCTGACAGGTACATAGTCTTCGGGTGCCGTTTCGTCGCATTTTTCTAACCTCAAATGCTGCATAGCACTGTTCAGGCTGTCCCTCCTGAAGCGGTTACAAGGTACGTACTTTTCAGATGCTCTTAGTGCCGTAGTTGTCTAATGTTGACAAGTAGGACCAAGCCCGACACAACCTTTAGTATGCCCGATACCCCCATACCGGAGGGACTGCAGGTGGTTAAGTACCACAGTCCTCCTAAACGGTATGTAGTCTCCATATGCTCCGTATTTTAAAAGTGTTAATCAGCGAGATAGGAACAAAAGTATTGTAATATTTGGGGCGGAAGCAGCAGGAAAAAGCGCACTTGTCAACCTCATGGCAGGCGAAAATGTGGCGACGACATCTAGTGACGCGATTGTTTGTACGCAGCATTGGGAAGAGTATCCCATCAGCTTCGCCGGCGAGTCTTATAGTGTCTTCGACACCATGGGAATCGATGAACCGCAGATTGGAATTCCACAGTACCTCGATGCTGTCGAAAACGCCTATCGGCTCATCAAGATGCTAGACGAAGAAGGCGGCATTGATCTTCTTCTATTCTGTATGCGCGCCGGCAGACTCACCGCTACGCATCGGAGCATCTACCGGCTCTTTAACGAATTCCTGTGCGAGAAGAAGGTTCCTGTTGTTCTTGTGTTCACACACCTCGAAATTGAGCCAGGGGGGATGGAGAACTACTGGGAGAGAAACCGCAACACCTTCGAAAAATACCTGAGCCCGATCGCCGGTCATGCGTGCATCACCGCCACTAGAGGAAATTCCCCGCAACGTTATGAAGAATCACGCACTACGATCCGGAATGTTGTTCAGCGATTGACCGCTGACAGGCAGAGGGATACCTTGTTCGCGTCGTTGATACGTAAGCCGAAGGAGTTACTTGCCGGGGGTCCGCTTGTGAAAAGGAAGGATCTTGTCCCTCTTCTCACAAAGCGTTGTGGTATATCTCCAGACGTCGCAAAACGGTTGGCTGATAGAATCAGGCAAGACGTAGGTTGATGATTTCAACCATGCCTTATGCTCACCCGATTGTAATTGTAGACTTAGTCTTTATCGAGGATATGTTGCACATCTGAGTTGATACTAATACATAATTCATATGATCACTTGCATCACATGTGAATTCGTTCTCCCTTCCATTCTAGCGCTGATAGAATTCCATCACTGCAGGTTACATAAATTACTACACCACGCATGGCAAATACAAAGTGTATAAAACGTACGCCAACAACATCCCAACATCCCAGACGACATGAGAGTAACAGGGAGAATGGTAGAAGGTCGGCCATAAGCGATGTTATACCCGATACTGGCGTTGAAGAGCACGGGATCTTAAGGTGCGACGCCTATTGCGCGACGCAGGCCTGAGAGCGTTACTGTGCGGATGTCTCGACCGTCGATCAGGATACAGCCCTGAGCCGGGTTGGAGTTCGTAGAAGCGGTAGAAGAGGCGCAGGATCGTGCTTTTGCCTGCTCTGTGCCTACCAATTCCTTGGCATCAGGTTCATCGACAATTTCAGTGAGCTCATTGCTCGGTATCGACGAGGCTTTGGTTGATTGCACAGTATATGCCGCCGAGGTTCGACGGAGGGAAGTAGAGCTGGTATGGATGACATCAGCATGGTGATGATTAGCAGACGACAGCTCTGCACCACACGAAGGAGATAAGGTACCCACCTACGCATAATAGGTGATGAACACCACAAATCACTAGTGTTACTCTGTCCCCTCCTGATGCGCGACACACGATCAAATAACCGACCAGAAGACTGGATGTGATAATCAGCGTCTGTACAAGGTTCAGGAGGTTGACAGATACCACAGGTGCGATCGGCATTTGCGCTCACGATCAAAATGAAACACAGGTTTGGTTTGGAAATTTGAAACAAGACGTGGTTTTTGAAATGAGATAAGACGGAAACACTCACGAACAACCCTATTTTTTAAACTCTGATACTCCCCAATAGCCTCCGTATACCTCTGCGCCTCATACGGCTCCCCTCGAAATACTTGACAGTCTCGTAGTTAATGGGACAATCCGTATGGGTCCCACGAGTGACCTGAGCATGCATGCAGTTAAGATTCACTTCATAATCGTAGACAAAACGAAGCAGGACTGAGCACTCACCACATCCCGCCCATTCATTCGCCTCTGTATACTAGTCCTACAGCACGTAAGTATGATACTCGCCCAGATATAACTCCAACCACAACATCCAATGCAAGTTCGAATCTCACAACAAACGCGACAAGCGCAACATATGCATCCACGAATCCAGGAATCATCGTGAATCCAATAGACTCGCCAACACGGTTTATTGCGCTTCCTCTATCGAGAATACGGAGCAGCTCGCCCGTCTTGCGTTTCGTATATCAACTGAGAGAAAGAGCACATGATCGAATGAGAGCATCGACATGCTGCGATCGCTGTATTGCATGAGTGGGATCCAGAGTGCGTTGCAGATGGCTGAGATAGCCTGAAGATGCGAGGAATCGGAACCGGACGTAGGTGATTAGGTACGACCATGAGCTGGCGCTGAATGCAGGAAATGTAGTTAGGTCTGGTGTGTCGAAGGTAGTGATCTGTGGCAAGTGAGTGGGAGAAATGGGTTGACTATGCATCCAAGAACAAGGACGAGGAAACAGATTAACTGGGAAATAGTTAATTGGGGTGATAGAATGCAAGGGAGATACGCACTGTGATGAATTGCAGCTTTGGATAGTGGGAAGGCCGGAAATGGAGCGTGAGGCGAGTTATACGGGTGGAGAGTTCGCATCATAAGGGATCCACAGTTACTTCGCACGGGGTTGTCTGTAAAAGCGTTAGGTTGCGCTACACTAGATTAGCAGCCCAATATACTGACCTTGTCACGGTTTGGCTCTCGCACACCTGGAATTGAATCTTATTGGGGACACACACATTGCACAGCGGGTGGTAGGATTGCTTTTAGAGATGGAAGTGACATATCAAATGGTACTACAAGGACCATCAGCGTCTGCATCTTCTATTAAGTTGCAACACAGTAAAACAAGTCATGAGAGGATATGTCGGGAGCGGTCTCATACACGCATCAGCTTCTTCTGTGTAACGATGTTATTGCAGACAAAGGTAAACGACACGAGGAAAAAAGTGCACAAGTGGTAGGACACATACAAAAAATTGGGTATGCATGACTAGAGGATGTGCAAATGTGATGCGCGTCTGAATTTAATTGATTGATAAGGTAAATGAATTGAATTCTGATGGAAGCGGCGGGTGCTACTAGGCTACTAGTAGGATTGCAAAATGGTTGCAACAGCAACGAATCGTGAGGGATGTCGGACCGTTCCAAAGGACGACCTGGACGATGTGGAGTGAGAGCGTAATTATCAGCGATGATCATGCTTGTGACTCTGACGTGTAGCGTGAGCGCTAGGAGCTTGATTGTCACTGGCAGCGTAACTGTTACATAAGGGACGACAGTCTTAACTACTTACAGTCATATCAATGTCATCATTGCACGATCCCTGAATCCATGATCCATCATAGCCTCTAGCTTCCAGGCGACCTACAGCATGGCTACCAGCTGGCCGCCTTACGAACCCAGATAGGCGCCTTGCATATGTATCAGCTTGAAAACCAGCCTGCTTCACTTCCCAGATCTCGCCTCCTGCAAAGCCCTACCCATGATAGCTGAACAGCGCTAGTGAGTAGTCTCCCATAATGACACAGTCCCTCGACCTTTTATTTTGCAGCGATACCCTTAGCGACTTCAGATTTCAAATTTCTGCATTGGAGTTCGGGAATCCATGCACATCTGGTTCATTTGGCACCGTTTTACCGAGGCACCATCAATACCAACGAAGGCACAAAAGAGGTTTATTGGACCAACCTTGTCTGATTGCATCAATAATCCATCTAATATTCATCAGGTCGCAGTGAAGGTGTTCAAGATTGATTCCGGGAGGGCTGTGGAGAAATATGAGAAGGTCAGTCATATAACCGAAGTTTGCCGATTCAATCACTCTTCGCTCAATGCCTATGTAGGCCAATGCGTCGGGAACTCAAGGTGTGGCTTAGACTGTCAAAACACCCAACTATCGTCCCGCTACTTGGAATCGCACACGTCGGGCTTCCATTACCGGTTCTCATTTCTCAATGGATGCCCTCTGGAACATTGTATACGTACCTCGAGCAACCTATCAATACAATCACCGCTTCCAATAAAGTTGAATTGGCGAGTTTTTTGTTCATTAATCGCATTCGCCAAGCGTTGATCGATTTTATGCTACAAGGTCAGGGGCGTTGCCGACGGCCTCGGATATCGTTCGTAGATCACTATCCTATTGTTATTTTTGTTCCTAATGTCTACCCAGTTCACTCGGAGAATGTCGTTCACGGAGACCTTCATCCCGTATGTACGGTTGTCTTTCTGTGGATATTGTACTCATTCATAAGCCTCAGGCAATGTACTTGTAGATGGTGTGGGGAATCCACGTCTCACAGATTTCGGTCTCGCAACAGTCGTAGGAGACGCGGAGTTGCAGTTGGGTACGACAACTGTGACACGTGAATTCGATGTTCGATGGCGTGCTCCTGAAGTCATTGGAGTCGATCCGAAGGATGAGCCTGTACGGCCGAATTTCAAGAGTGATATATATTCTTTTGGTGGTGTCATGTTCTTTGTGCGATCTTTTCGTTTTTCTGTAGTTCTATCCTAACCTTTCTCCTCTTAGATCGTCTCGGGGGATATACCATGGAAAGAGAAGAAACAGCCACATATCATCATTGAGTATCGAAAAGAGCGACTCCTGCTCGTCCCGATAACATTTCTATGATCACTGGAACTTGATTCAGAAATGCTGGTCTTGGAACCCAGACGATCGTCCAGAGGCAACGGAAATCACCTGCAGCGATATCCATGACGACTTCACATCTCAAATTTCTGCGTTGAAGCTCGGGAATCCGTGCAAATCTGGTTCATTTGCCACTGTTTACCAGTTCACCATCGAGACCAGCGAAGGCACAAAAGAGGTTTGTCTTACCACAGTACCCAAGCTCTTGAATCGTTCATCTGATATTCATCAGGTCGCAGTAAAGGTGTTCAAGACTGATTCTGGGAGAGCCGTGGAGAAATATGTGAGGGTCAGTTATCTAATTGGAGTTTGGCGATTCAGATCACACTTCGCTCAATGACCTATGTAGGCAATGCGTCGGGAACTTAACGTGTGGATTAGAGTGTCAAAACACCAAAATATCGTACCGCTACTTGGCACTGCAGACGTCGAGTCCCCGTGTCCTGCTCTCGTTTCGCAATGGATGCCCTCCGGAACATTGGATACGTACCTCGAGAAGCATGGTACAATTACCACTTTGGCTAAAGCTCATCTGGCGAGTCTTGTTCACCAATCACATTCGCCAAACATTGATTGATTTTATGCTACAAGGTCAGGGGCGTTGCCGACGGCCTCGGATATCGTTCGTAGATCACTATCCTATTGTTATTTTTGTTCCTAATGCCTACCCAGTTCATTCGGAGAATGTCGTTCATGGAGACCTTTATCCCGTATGTACGGCTGTCTTTCTGTGGATGTTGCACTCATTCATAAGCCAGGCGAATGTACTTGTAGATGGTGCGGGGAATCCACGTCTCACAGATTTCGGTCTCGCAACAGTCGTAGGGGACCCAGAGTTACAGTTGGGTACGACAACTGCGGCGCGTGAATTCAATGTTCGATGGCGTGCTCCTGAAGTCATTGGAGTAGATCGGAAGGGTCGGCCTGTACGGCCGAATTTCAAGAGTGATATATATTCTTTTGGTGGTGTCATGCTCTTTGTGCGATCTCTTTGTTTTTCTGTAGCTCTATCCTAATATTTCTCCTCTCAGATCGTCTCGGGGGATATACCATGGAAAGAGAAGGCACATCCACAGATCATCATTGAGCTATCGAAAAGAGCGACTCCTGCTCGTCCCGATAACATTTCTGATGATCACTGGAACTTGATTCAAAAATGTTGGTCTTGGAACTCAGCGGACCGCCTGGAGGCAGCGGAAGTCATTGGATGCCTTGCAACGAAAATCACCAGGCATGTAGTCTTTAGATGAAGCTCCGTATTTTTCCAGTATTAACAAGCGAGGACAGGCCTAAAACTATCGTACTATTTGGGGACACGGGAGCAGGCAAAAGCTCACTCGTCAACCTCATGGCGGACAAAGAGGTAGCGTGCACATCTTCCGACATGCGACGCTGTACTATGCAGTGGAAAGACTATGCCATCGATTTCGGTGGCGACTCGTATACGGTTTTCGATACCATTGGACTACATGAACCGCAGCTGGGAATCAAAGAGTACCTGAAGTCTGTCGAGAATGTCTATCGACTTATCAAGGAATTGGATGGAAGAGGCGGCATCGATCTGCTTCTATTTTGCGTTCGCGCTGGCAGAGTTACTGCTACGCTTCAGAGCAACTACCGGCTCTTTCACCACGAATTCCTCTGCGAGAAGAAAGTCCCGATTGTTCTTGCGATCACGAACCTCGAAAGAGAGCAGAGGATGGAGACCTGGTGGGAGAGAAACCAAAGCACCTTCGACAAATACCAGATTCAGGTCGCCGGTCATGCGTGTGTCACCGCCGCCAATAAATTGGACGGCAGACACGACACCTTTATGAAGAATCGCGCATCACGATCCGCAATCTTGTTCAGCAATTTACCGCTGACGGGCAGAAGCAAGCATGGATAGGAGGGAACAACCTGTTCGTGTCGTTGATGCGTAAGCTAAGGGATTTAGTTCCAGAGGGTCAGAATGCGAGAAAGAAGGATCTTGTCCCTCATCTCACGAAGCGTTGTGGTGTATCTCCAGACGTCGCAAAACAGTTGGCTGATATGATCAGGCAAGATGTATATTGATGACTTTAACTATACCTTATGCTTACCCGATTGTAATTGTGGACTTCGTCTTTGTCGAGGATATGTTGCACATCTGAGTTGGTACTACATACTCTACTATATAATTCATATCATCAATTGCATGACTTGTGTCTTCATTCTCCTTTCTATATTCTAGCGCTAGAATTCCACCTCTGCAGATTATATAAATTCCTGTACCACGCATAGCAAATACAAAGTGTATAAAACTCACGCCCACTGCAACAGACCAACATCCCAGACCATGGTACCACCACTCCCGCTGCTCGTCATACTACTTGCCTCTCGCAAGCTCACGTCCCGGTGTCAAACCCCAGGCAATTTCGGAGCTTCACCGCTGAGACTTATCTTCTCGCAAGTCTCTGGAAATTATGCGTCGAAAGCGCTCTCTTATGTGCAGGGAAACCCGTCCGTGGAGGCGTGGTCACTTATGCGCCAAACGTAACACTCGCGTCTTGTCCATGCGCAGGTACGACTGAACACTCTGGATAACTGTGAATGGAAGGCGCATCGGACGTGGGTGCTGTCGTTGAGAAGGCTTGGGGTGCATCGTCGGATACGGGGGATGATATAGGTACATGTGGTTTGGCTTGTAGGGATGCTAGAACGACTTGGGGAGAATCAACGACTATGCGCTCTTCGACTGCTGTGCTGCGCGTTTCAAATTCGGGAATGCCGACGACGGGTGCATCGTCATCGATGTTGTATCCAGCTGGGATTTTTGGACGCGCTGATCTGACCTGCTACATGGATGCAAAGAGGCCATTAAGTTGAAGGAGCTCCCTGTATGTAAGTCCTACTCAACGATCCGCCCGTCCTTGAGAACCATAATCCTTCCCAAGAACACAAATCGGCACCATCACTAAGAAAAAACACCCAAGGAAAACCACTCACTTATCAGTCCCCTTGATCGTACTCAATCGATCCGCAATACTCAAACAACTTCCATCCACAAGTCTCCCAAGCGCACCATCCAACGCACTAGTAGCCTAATCCAAAAGCGGCACCCTCGTATTCTTCACTATGGTCCTAGCGATTACCACGCGCTGCTTCTCACATCCACTCAGTCTCACGCCCCTCTCCCCAACCTTCGTCTCATACCCCTCTGGGAAACTCATGATACGGTCATAGCAGATCTGAATATTCTAATCCTGCCTACAGTCGTATTACATGGTGATAACCAATCGTAATGAAACAGCCTCTATACCCAGCTACCGTAATGAGCAAACCTGCGTCATTTATGAAGTTTTTGGATCACATCTTTTGCTAGGCTATCCTCCATCCCGCAGCGCTTCACGAGGACCCCAAGAACGTCTGACTTGCTTGGACGTCCCGTTAAGAGGTCCTTCAACTTTCCAATGAACCGGCCAAGCCACCCATCTCCTCTATTCCAGTCCACTACTGTATCCTTATTCCGTATAATCAAGTCACTCACTTCCTTTTGGATCTAGGTTAGCCACTGCAGTGATACAAGCATGATCAACACACTTGACTGCATGACTGTCGAACGATCCCTCGTTTCGCGCGTACCAATCATCCATGAGGTCTTCCTTCTCCAGGTGGGTAACGATGAGCGCAACTGGTATCTTCTCCTCGAAGAAAAAATCACACAATAGCCTGTAGTTGGTGACGAACGTCGGTGGTATCCTGCCTGTCTTGATGCAGTACAGCAGCAAATGGACTCCTCCGCTGACCCATAGCTCTTTTATAACTTGTCAGTCGATAACAACATTGAGAAATGGGCTTGGGTCCATGCGGTTGCCATCGACCCCGGCAGTATCATAGATGCGGTACGGCGCACCCTTGATGGTGACATTATACGTTTCATGGCGTGTTCGGCGCCCAGAGAGGTCCTAGCAACCTGGTGCCCTGCGAAGAGGTTGATGATGGAGCTTTGCCCGACGCCACTTTCTCCAAAAATGACAATGTTTTGGCAGACATTAACAATACTTAATGAATCTAGCATGGCGCTTCTTCAGTACTGGGCTTCTAGCAACAAGAGGGCACAACGGTGAGCTCACGATTATAGTGAAGTTGTTTCTTCTGGCTGGGTGGACGATCTTCGATGAGAATGACAAGTCAACAGCTTCTGATGCTTATGCCATTGCAGGCAGGACACGGTGCACAACGAAGATTACGACCTGCAAAGCTAACATGAGGATGCATATGGGTATCGACTACCCCTTTTCGTTGAAACTAGAACCAAACTTTAACAGTTGCAACGTGCAAGCAACATTGTGCAGCGCTCGTTGTGAAATGTAACCGATCGCCTTCCTGGACATCATCACCGCATAACCTCCAGTGATCCATAGTAGTCGGCCAGGAATCGAGATTCAATATGCCAACCCCCACCGCCCCGAGGGCCATATGCCTCGCATCACCGCATGACGCGCCAAAGATTGTATTGCTTGCTGTCAGCAGACAGACACAATAGACCTCGAGGCCTCGATAGGTCACTGTCGTTCAGCACGTGCTAACATTGTGTCCGCCTCCTGCATCGGAAGTTACCTAGAAGGTTGGCCGAAACCTTGAACTGGAAGCGCCAAAAGCAAACTCAAATGGGTTGCTTCCTAACATGAATATGCTAATAGTGTCCACAGATATCAATGACTTGCTGCGGCGATATTAACAGGTCCTGATGTGATTGCAATGAACTTGCGGTTGGCGAACAGTAATATAATCACAATAGTACTCAATTCGAAGTTGGCTTTTGAACGGCTCGTACACGACATGTACAGATCATGTCGGTTAGTACGGCGGTACTACCTATGTTCACGTTTAGTTTGTGGCAGTTTATGATAAGGACGGCTCTTAGAACTTATTACATAAAGGTTTTACGTATTGAACTTGAAGTCAGAGGTTCCTTCAAGTTTGTCATGGTGGTACTAGCAGTCAGTGCTAGTGCAACTGGTGATCGATTGATCTATGGAAGTCTATTCAAAAACGCTCCAGTGACGTGCCCGCTTGCACACTGACTTTGCCTCTGGTGTCAATATTAAAAGTATAGATCCTTCCATCAGATTCCAAAGCCTCGAGGCAGTACCACGATCAGCAATGCTTCTCGGATAGAATACGAGAATGGTCTGATCTGCATGGCTGCCAGGTCTTCTTATAATCCCCAGCGGAAGCCTTGCACAACTTGGAAAGATTGCACCACAAATTCAAGTACGAGTCTACTATTCTTCCTGAAAATCTCCTCCTGCCGCAAGTCAGCCTACCATGAAGGGACTTGCGCTTGAAGAGTGAGTGTTCCCCATAACGTGCCTTGACCCAAAGGCTTCATCGTGTTCTGCAGTGATACCCCTCGTGACTTCACATCTCAAATTTCTGCTAGTGGGACTTCGAAGGACGAAATTCCATCTGCTGCTACTTTGGTATAGTTCATCAGCGTACCATTGAGTTCAGCGAGGACATGGTGGAGGTTCGTCCGACCAACTTTTTCCCGAGTTTATCAATTGTGACCATGGACAGGTCACAGTGAGCGACTCTGGGCATCGTCCGGACCACAAACGTACCCGAGCCCATCGATCACTTTATTTCTATTGATACCTCTCGTAACTTCACATCTCGAATTTCTGCTACTGCGACCTCGAAGGACGAAATTCCATCTGCTGGTACCTTTGGCATAGTTTATCGACGTACCATTGAGTCCAGCGAAGGCACAATGGAGGTTGGTTTGACAAAATTTTACCCCAAGTTCACCAGTCGTCCTCTAATGGCCATTGACAGGTCGCAGTGAAGATCTTCAAGATTGGTCCTCAGGCCGGGAGAACCATGCAAAAATTAGCAAAGTCAATTTTCCGCTACTAGCTGGAGTGCCCCAACTCAACTAACACTTTGCTCAATGATAGGGAATAAATCGAGAACTCAGGGTGTGGCTTGAACTGAAACACCCGACTATCGTCCCGCTACTTGGTATTGCGAAGGTTCAAGATTCTCTATTTCCGGCTCTCATTTCCGAATGGATGTCTTCTGGGACATTATATGCGTACCTCAAGGAGCAAGGTACAATTTCCGCATCTACTCGGATCAAATTGGTGAGTCTCTGGTTCACAATAATCAAACTCACCAAGAGTTAATCTATTTTCATGCTACCAGGCCAGGGGCGTTGCTGATGGCCTCGAATATCGTTCGTAGATCTCTATTATGTTATTATTTTTTTCTTGATGCCTGTTGGATCAGTTCACTCCCGAAGTGTCGTTCACGGAGACCTTCATCCTGTATGTCGAGTAGTCTCTGCGGGTGTTACACTCATTCATAAGCATCAGGGGAATGTGCTCGTAGATGGTTCAGGGCATCCACGTCTCATAGATTTTGGTCTCGCGACAATCGCAGGGGACGTAGAGTCGCAATTGAATACGACGACCGCAGGCCGCAGTGTCAATCCTCAATGGCGTGCACCTGAAGTCATTGGAATCGACCCGGAGACTGAACCTGTACGACCGAATTTCGAGAGTGATGTATATTCTTTTGGCAGTGTCATGTTCTTCGTGAGATATCTGTATTTCTCTGCAACGCTATCCTGAGCTTTTCCTCTCTCAGATCGTCTCAGGGGTTACACCGTGGCACGAGAAGAAAAGTTCAAATCATATCATCATTGAGCTATCAAAGGAGCTACTCCTACACGTCCCGACAACATCCTTGACGATCACTGGAACTTAATCAGCAAATGCTGGTCTCGGGACCCCATGTGTCGCCCAGAGGCAACCGAAGTCACCAAATGCATTGCAACGCAAATTGCCATCATTAATTCAGAAGAGATGAAGTGGCTGTTATGTAGGTCGTCTTCAGATACCTTTTGTGCCGTATTCTTCTAACCTCAAACCCCACATAGCACTACACAGAGCCCTCCTAAACGCACTTCAGGAGAGACTGAACTGACTGATAGGTAAGTCGTCTTCATGTACCCCTTTGTGCCGTATTCTTATAACCTCAAACCACACATAGCACTATACAGAGCTCTACTAAATGGAATTCAGTAGAGACTAAAATAGCTGAT